ACGACCCCACCAGGGCCAGGGATGAACCACAACCGAAGTACGGTCCCTTGACTGGAATCGAACCCGTGACTCATTGGTCCGCAGGCCAGTGCTCTAACCACAGAGCCAAACTGGCCAGGGCGAATGTCTCCTATTATTATTGCATATCTGTCCATTTTCTCCCCTATGTTTGTTAATATTTGCTTTATTTAGGTCCCTCCTATATTGGGTACATAAATATTTATGATTGTTATAACCTCTTTTTGAACTGACTCCTACCTATACCATTATCTAATGTCCTCCTTTGTCCTTTGTTAGTCTGTCCTATTTTGTCTGGTAGAAGTATTGCTACCCCAGTTTTCTTTAGCATGGAATCTCTTTTTCCACTCCTTCTCTTTCAGTCTCTGTCTTTCAATTTGAAGAGTCTTTTGTAGGCACTCAGCCACCCTCTGTCTTTTGGCTGGAGCTTTTAGTCCATTTACATTTAAAGTAATTATTGATTGGATTTTACTTATTGCCATTTTGTTCATTGTTTTCTGGTTGTTTTTGTAGTTTTGTTTTTTCTTTATTGATTTTAGAGAGAGAGCAAGGGAGAGGGAGAGACTGATAGAAACATCGATGAGAGAGAACATCACCCCCCGACACACACTCACACACACTGGGGATTTGGCCCACAACCTGGGCATGTGTCCTGACCGGAAATCAATCCAGCGACCTCTTGGTACATGGGTCGATGCTCAACCACTAAGCCGCAACTGCCAGGTTGTAGTTCTTAATTCTTTTCCTCTTTTGTTCTCTTGTGGTTTGCTGGTTTTCTTTAGTATTATGTTTGGATCCCTTTCTTTTTAATTTTTGTGTATCTGTCATACGTTTTGGTTTGTGTTTACCATGAGGTTCATATATATATTGACTTGTATATATACCAGTCTATTTTAAATGGATAAGTTTTTAAGTTTAAACACATTATAAAAGTGCTGCATTTTTACTCCCCCCCACATACACACATGTTATATCATGTTTCAGATTTTTTGTTTTGTGTATCTTCTTACTCTAATTGTAGTTATAGTTAATGTTACTATTTTTGTCTCTTAACCTTTATATTAGCCTCTTAGGTGGCTTTCCACTGCTTTTTCTATATATTTGCCTTTGCCAGTTAGGTTTTTTTGTTTTATTTTCTTATTTCTGGTTATAACCTTTTTCTTTTCCACTTAAAGAAGACCTTTTAGTATTTCTTTTAAAGTGGTTTAGTGGTAATAAACTCTCTCTCTCTCTTTTATTGCTTGTTTGGGGAACTCTATCTATCCTTCAATTCTGAATGATAGCCTTACCTATTTATTCCATGTTGTAAGTTCTTTTCTTTTAACCCTTTAAATATATTCTGTCATACTCTTCTGGCCTATAAAGTTTTTCTGTTTAGAAATGAGCTGATTAGCCCTGGCCGGTTTGGCTCAGCGGTTAAAGCGTCAGCCTGCGGTCCAGAGAGACCCAGGTTCGGTTCCCGCTAAGGGCATGTACCTCGGTTGCAGTTTGTCCCCGGCCCTGGTTGGTCGTGCGGGTGGCAGCCACTCGATGTGTCCCTTTCACGTCGATGTTTCTCTCTCTCTCTCTCTCCCTCCCACTCTATCTGAATAAAAAATGAAAAAAAAAAAAAAAAAGAAATGAGCTGATTGCCTTAAGAGGTTTCCCTCATATAAGACTAGCTGTTTTCTCTCACTGCCTTTGAGATTTTATCTTTTATTTTTGCAATTTTAATTATAATTTGTGTTCATGTGGATTTCTTTGGGTTCCTCTTTTTGGGACGCTCTGTATTTCCTGGATCTGGATGTCTGTTTCCTTCAAATGTTTTCTGCCTCTTTCTCCTCTCCTTCTAGGACCCCTATAATGAGAATGGTAGTACATTTAATGTTGTCCATGAAGTCTCTTAAATAAACTATTTGTGTGTGTGTAGAGGGTGGGGGGGTCTTTAATTTCTTTTGCTGTTCTGATTGATTTCCAGTATTTTGTCTTCCAGATGGCTAATCTGTTCTTGTCTATAATCTAATATGTTGATTCCCTCTTGTGTATTTTTCATTCTAGTTACTGTATTCTTCAGTTCTGATTGGTTCTTTCTGATACGTTCTGTTTTGAACTTCTCACTGTGTTCCTCTGTTCTCCCAAGTTTTCTGACATTTTTATTGCTATTACTTTGTATTTTGGGTTTTGTTGTTTTGTTTTGTTTTAAATAAATTACTTGTCTGTGTGTAATTAAGGTTCTCTTTTTTTTTTTTCCTTGTGGTTTGAGTTTGTTCTTTCATTTGGGATATATTCCTCAGTCTCCTCATTATTTTTGACATTCTGTTTTTATTAAGTACTTGAAACTGCTACTGCTCCCAGTCTTGAAGGAATGGTCTTGTATAGGAATAACTCCTGTTTAGACTGTGCATGCCACTTTCTTTGGCAAGCTGGCTAGAGCTGGAGTGGGCACGGCCAACATGTCCTGGGGCCGCCCTGGTGGGAGGGCTGTTAAGAGCTGGTGCAGGAATGGGCCAAGGTATGTTGGAGTTTGCGTTTCTAACCCTCTTCTGATGGGGCCAGATTTATGTTATGTTCTGGTCCAGATTTATGTTAATTTATTGGCTAGGGGTTCTTACATCATGCAGATAGTACATTGCCTGAGATTTTTTGTCATGTTCCTAGTCTATTTTTTATACATCAAGACTCCACTATAGCCTCATGTGATATTTTGCTTCCATTTGCCTTCACTTGCTTTCAAGTATCTTTCTTTTTTTTCTTTTTTGCACCTGGGGAGTTTTCTTTCATGCTTTCAAACTTAATTATGTAATAATTTATTATTATGGTGGTTTGCCTTTCACTTTTATGTGGTAGATTGGGTGGGAAAGGGGGTGTGCAGTTCAATCTGCCACATGATTGGAAATGTAAAACATTATATACAGTAAGGTTAAAAAACATTTATAAGAAAACAGTAAGATATCTTGACTAGTACAGGCATACCTTGTTATATTGTTCATTTTATTGAGTTTCGCAGACATTGTATATTTTACAAATTGAAGGTAACACCTGTTACCAGCAAAAATATTACAATTTGCTGAAGGCTCAAGTGAGGATTAACATTTTTTACCAATAAATTATTTTTAAGTTAAGTACATTTTTTTTTATTCATAATGCTATTGTATACTTAATTGTATACACACATTTATTTACATGTAGTGGTAAACCAGAAAATTCATGTGACTCATTTTGTTGGAATATTGGCTTTATTGTTGGAATAAGTATGGAAGCAAACCTGCAGTAGCCGAGGAATGCCTGTTAGGCATACAGGCATGTGCTTTATAGTGACATTTTGGTCAACTATAGACTGCATCTACAGTGGTGTTCCCATAAGATTATAATGGAGTTGAAAAATTTCTATCACCTAGTGATAGTGTAGTTGTAACACCATGGTGCAACAGATCACTTGTGTGTTTGTAGTTGTGCTGGTGTACACAAATTTACTGCACTGCTGGTCATATAAAAGTATAGCACATACAAGTATGTACAGTACATTATACTTGAAATAGATAGTGAATGGCTGTGTTGCTTGTTTATGTACTATACTATCCTTTTGTTATTTTAGATTGAACTCTTTCTACTTATGTAAAAGTTTGCTGTAAAACAGAAATGCTATGTATGCTAGCAACAACCTCATACATCCCATAACTCTCTTGATTGCATCATTTTCTCTTGTGCTTAATTTAATCTTCTGTTTTGTACAGTAAAATGCTTTACAGGCTTGAAACCTAAGAGCAATAGGCTATACCATATAGTATAGGACTGTCATAGGCTGTACCATCTCGGTTTGTGTAAGTACACTGTGTGATGTTTGCACAAAGTACTGTCAAGTCGCCTAATGACACTTTTCTTAGAATGTATTCCTATTTTTATTTATTTATTTTATTTTATTTTATTTTTTTTTATCCTCACCCAGGACATTTTTCTATTTTTTGTTCAGGTAGAGTGGGAGGGAGAGAGAGGAACAGAGAGAGAGAGAAACATCGATGTGAAAGGAACACATCGAGTGGCTGCCACCCGCACAACCGACCAGGGCCGGGGACAAACTGCAACCGAGGTACGCGCCCTTAGCGGGAACCGAACCCGGGTCTCACAGGACCGCAGGCCGACGCTCTAACCGCTGAACCAAACTGGCCAGGGCTGTATTCCTATTTTTAAGTGGTAGATGACTGTATATGATAGGTGAATTTGAATTAAAGCCCCATTCAGTACATTTTAAATATCTTATTTAATAGGAAGATTCCAATACTGGAAATAAAATATGATGTTTGCCAATTTTTAACTTAATGTAGTCTTTTAAGGGTAGTAAACTATCCACTATGGTGGATAGGAGGAAATTAGTAGTTCACACATATTTCTGTAAAAAACTATTGCTACTTATATTACTTTGTCATATTCAAATTTCTGATAGTACATTACCTGTTACTGTAGACTGGTATGTGAAGATATACTCTTTACAAGGTCGGGCATTTGGTGTTTTGGCTTTTTACCAATAGACCTCAATTTAGCATATTTCCACTGCTTAAGAGTTCACCCTGTGTCTCAGTTCTTAAGCCCAATAGGTGGCAGTCTTTTCAAATCTTTCATCTTAAACCTGAAAAAAAAAAGGTTTACAAATAATTCATAGGAAGTGTAAATAATAGATACCAAAACCACAGTTATTGCCCTAATAAAGAGATTAAGTATTTAAGAGAAGCAGACTAAATGAAAAAGTGTGTATCAAAGTATAATGATAGTCTCACTATAAGAGAACCAAATGTTAAAATAGTATATAGTGAGAACAGGAATCCACTTGTATTCATTGGTGTTCCTGTAGTTTCATCTGAATAATGTGTTTTCCTCTGTAGTATCTAAGTATTTTTATGAAAGGCAGGAAAAAAAAGCATACAGTGTATTCTAAGTTACACTCAGTGTTGTTTTCCAGTTTTATTTTGCTCAGATTATCATGCTGTATTTAATTTTGTTTTTCCCAGGTTTCCCTAGAAAGAGAACGACATCATGATCAAACACATGTTCAGAACCAACTTGAAAAATTAGATCTTCTTGAGCAGGAATATAATAAACTAACGGCAATGCAGGCCCTTGCAGAAGTCAGTGAATGTATTTTTTACTCATTATTGTATAATATCGGTTCTTTTATAAAATTGATCATTTTATAATACTGGATATTTATAGAAAGGAAAGTTATAACAGAAACAGAAATTTTTAAAAGAAATGTAATTTGGAGAGAATGTTCACATTTTCAAATTTTTATGTACATGAGAAGGAGGGTTTTTATTTTTTAATGTTTGAAGATTAAATGTTTTTGAGTGTTATAAGGCTTGTATCACTTGGTTGAAGTTGTTTTATTACCTACGTTAGTTTTAATTGATTCTCTCAGGAAATACTTCATACCACTGAGACTATTGTTTTAGATTTAGCTTCCATCTAACCTGAGTGCCTTCATCCAGAGCTATGTTCTTTGGCCATAGATTTTAACCCATAATTCTGTTGAGCCTCACAAATGACTAATAATGAATCACAAGGGAGTTGTCATGGATACTGGCAAACCCAGAGCCATTATTAGAGTGAACAAGCTTATATTTACTATGCTGAAATTTTATACTTTTCTCACTGTTACCATTTTGAATGTTTTTTCACTAGAAAAAAATGCAAGAGTTAGAAGCAAAACTTCGTGAAGAAGAACAGGAAAGAAAACGTATGCAGGCTAAAGCAGCTGAGGTAAATTGAAATGTGAAACAACTAGGTCCTTCATATTTCGTACTTTTTTTTAATATAAATAGATAATTAACTGTGGGCTTCTTAGATTATTTATATTTTGGAATGGTCCAATATAAATTCTTAGATAGATGTAGCTTAATATGGAAAATTATAAACATTTTTACCAAGTAAAACCTGAACATTTCTTTAGAGTCTTTCAAATTGTAGGTTTCGATCAAGATTTTGTATGTGCCCTCACTGGGCATCAAACCTGCAACCTTAGTGTATCTAGACCATATTCTAACCAACTGAGCTACCTGGCCCAGGGCTCAATCAGCATTTTAAAAAATCAATAGACTGAAAAATATCAGAGACTGTATACTTAATTAGATAATTCAAGATAATTAATAATATATAATCATGGGAAACTTTTCACATGGGTCACTATTAGAATATTTGAAAGCCATTGTTCAGTGTCCTATTTATACATGCTTGCTTTTCTTTGGTGGCCTTAAGACACCAAGACAGAAGTTGAAATAGTGGGCTGCCCCAATAGCTATTGACATACTAATTCACAAAAGCTACCATATTAGGAAAATGAGTTTTGCTCACTAGTCGAACTTTATCCCATTCAGTGGCCACTTGGTAGAATAGATAAGGCAGTGTGAATTCACAAATCATTGTTTATATACAACAATCAGAACTGCATTTCTAGAACTAGCAACACTTCTGTACCCAATAAGTCTTACAGGCTCAATAAAAGACTTATGTTTGTAACTCTTGACTCTCCCCTATGAGCTTATATATTCATATATCTTCCATATATTGCCCTCCCCATTCCAAAGTCTTTTTTATAACATTTGCATGTATCTTTTCTCATTATAATATTAACATTAGAAGTGGGTCCTGGTTCCAAAACAATTAAGAATGGAGGTTTTATAGCTCAGACTGTGGCCAGATGCCACAACTATCCTGGGATCACTTCATGAGTGTGCTTTCAGAACTACAACCATCCTATTAATGTCATCTTTGTTGTCTTGTCTATTTTTTCCTGTGCTTCCCAGAATTCATTGATTTAACACATTCTCTTTCTGTAAAACCTGATATATTTTTTCTCCAATATTACCTTTTGATCTATCTGTATATTTCCCCCCCTCAGTGTTCTTTCTGAGTTATATAGTCATGTGGCTTTATTTTTGACTACCAACAAATTTTGTAATTACTTGGTTTCTCTGCCCATCCCACTTTAGGGTGGGACACTTTTCTGTGTCTACATTTCCTCACTTGTAACATGAAACTTACGGGTTATGCTTTTTATACATTGTGGTGGTTAAGTTCTGTTGTACATGAAATACAAAATTAACCAAGTTCATTTTATTAATTTTAACAATTATTTTATGGTATTTCTGCTTTCTTTTGTATTTAGCAGGCATAAAGTAGGGACCAAATCAGTTACTACTGATAACGTAATATCAGTAAAGTTTCTGAGTTCTGATAGTGAATACAACTATAATGGAAGAACAATGGCCAAACATGATGAGTGGTTCCAAGTCTAGACAACCCTAATTTGTGTAGCGTTAGGCAAAATATTTAACTGTTTAGAGCTTGAATTTTATCATTGATAAAGTAATCTTCATTTTATATCTCCTTAGTATTAGATCAAACAAGAGAAAAAGATAATGAAAGCACTTTAAAAGGTTAAAACTCTAGCATACAAGTATATGACAGTTACTGAGAAAAACAAAAAGCTGCAAGTTCAAGTATTCAAAAAAATTGTTCTTTTGTATGCTATTCAAACTCATTGGCTTGTTAGGTCTTCCAGAATAGTAATTTCATGTTCATTGAGTTATATTTATTTGGTTTACTGTGTATAAAGCATTGTTAGATGTGTGGCAGTTTAGATACTTCTAAAATGAAAATCCTATATACCTTTGTCACTGAATAGAGTCTTTCCCCAGAGAGAATGCAGTCATTGTGGGAAGCATTAGTAATGACCTCAGTATATCTTTTAACTAATGCATTGGTTCTAAGTGTTTATCTCAGCTCCATCTTAATTTCCTGGGGATTTTTAAAATGCTTTTAAATACCAATTTTCCCAACCTAGAAGGTTGAGTATCATGAGATCAGGAGAGGAGCAATCTGATTTTTAAGTAAACTTGTAAGTTGGCTTAGGGAAAACAGCAGTCCTTGTTTGAAATTCTTAGTAATTGCTTATGGAATTTCTACCATGTAGTTAGGAAATTATTTTTAATGTTTTAGTTAGTTACTAGGCCTCTAGTGAAAAGGGCTTGATGACATTTGCTGACATACCTTCCAGTTATTTTGGGTTTTGTTTTTTGTTTTTTGGTACGTGCCCCTAGTGGGAACCGAACCCGGGACTCTCTGGTCAGCAGGCTGACGCTCCAACCGCTGAGGCAAACTGGCCAGGGCCCTTCCAGTTTTTTTGGACATAAATTTCTAGTTCCTATTTCTTGCATTGTAAGTGTATGCATTTTTAAAAGAAGAAGAAATGTATTTTGCTCTCAAGCTGCTGCTGTTGTAGATTCATGTGTGAAAGGAAGAGACTACTGAAGCAGTGGTTTGCAGTTAGATATAGTGTATTTAATTCATTAGTTATAATTTATGGGGCAACTTCAAATAATGGAGTTTCACTTAAATTAAGATGCTGGTATTGATTTTAAATGTCTGTCAGGTTGGTTCAAGACGTAGTTATATAGCTATGATGTATGTATTTTTTAGTCTGATACTACTATAGGCTTTTATAGGCTTTTACATGGAAAATCTCAAATTTGCATTATAACTTTTTTTTCTACAGCGTTAACTTTAGGCTCATATTTTTTCTAGTTGCAGACAGGTCTAGAAACAAATAGACTTATCTTTGAAGATAAGGCAACTCCTTGTGTTCCCAGTGCAAGAAGGATTAAAAAAAAAAAGTCAAAACCACCAGAAAAGGTATGAAAACAACCTTTAAGTCAAATTGCTGATTATTATTCGGAATAATTTATGTGAAAACGCTCATAAACCATGTGGTACTAAAATCTTGGGTGAGTAAATTAAATCTCTTTTATTCTCAGTTCCTTCATTGTAAAGATGGGGATAAGTAATACCTACTTCTAATTGTCTACCCTGATAGTGAGACGGTATATATGAAAGTATTTTAGGACTATAAAACACTGCATAATTATTAGTTGTGAATATTTATTATTGCATTAATTACTTTTGCTCTTAAGTTTTACACACACACACACACACACACACACAACACTAGACTGTAACTGCTGTTTTGTCAGGTACCATTTTTTCTGTCTAGACAAGGATGCATGACAAGTATTAGGAGTTTGAGACCATGCCAATATAAATAAGGCAAGTAGTAGCCCACCAGTAAGCTGAGTTTCAGGTTAGTTGTGTATATATAGCTTTTATTGTCATGTGAGTAAAATTGTTTTTCTTTCCATTCAGAAAGGTTCTAAGAACTATTTTGCTGCACAACCACATTATAGGTTATGCTTGGGTGATATGCCATTTGTAGCTGGAAAGGTGAGTTGGTTGAACTCTATTTTTTTCTTTTTTTGGTATGATTTAGATCTTTGAGTTAAATCCACTCATTTGCCTATATACCTAAAACATTTTCTGCTCCTTTTGTCAGTGTGGATCATAGTGATGTGAGAGTGAGATGGAGGAAGGTTTTAAGGTTTTAAGGTAGCAGGAAGGAGACTAGGCGAACACTTTAAAACATCAGACAAAGTATTTGTGGAAGGGAAGTTACTAACAAAAGTAAAGACCCTGGTTTGGAGAAGGTGTGATTGCAGGGATGGGTCAAGGGAATAAGAATTAATATGTTTGTGGCATTGAATTTTTAGTACCAACCCTGTTAATTTCTATTTAGATATAGATATTTAAATAAATAAAAATCACATTCTATTTATCCTCACTTCCATATTACTTATAAGATTCATTCTCCAAAAAGCACTTATACATAGACTTGAATCTTATGTTCCTTTAGTGCTTAAATGTAGAGATGATAATTTTGTCAAATATCAGCAAGTACTGAGAAATTTCTAATAAGTACTTAATATTGTGTTATACCACTTTTTGATGAACTATTTATGTTGTTGGTTTGTTTCACATATAGATGACGTGAATATCCAACAAGATTGTGAGTTTGAGAGGCTTTGGGAGTAATTTTAATTTTATCATTTATTTAATTTTACCCCCCCCCCCCCAACATTGACTCCTCAGTGAAAGCTGGGGGAGTGAACTATTTCCTAGCTTTTCAACTTGCCCTTTGTAGATGTGTGAGGCACAGATCACTTGGGAAAAAGTATTGCCATTGGCTCTGTGCTGTCTCTTCCCCTAAATTTACCCTGTTGTTGGATTGCAGACCATCTTTTGACCTATGTTATTTCCTTTATCTTTTACTCCTACCAAGCTTTTATTTCACCATAGAATCTTTGATTTGGGTTGGAAAAAGAGGTTCTCATGGGATGACCAGCTTCATCAGAATCACTGAGTATGCATTTGTAAGCAGATTACAAAGCCCAAACACAATCTTACCAAATCAAAATTTTCTGGGTGTGGGGTCTAGAAAGTATTTCTAACTGTTCCCTGGTCCCACTCTAATGTTCAGTTAAATTAGGAACGTATTCACACACTTAAAACCTGTCCAGTCCTTTCATTGTGTAAACATTCAGAATAAAGATTGTATAGTCTGTTCAAATATATCTACTGGTAAAACATCATTATACCTCAGATATCCCATCACATTTCTAGATGGCTGTATTTGAAAGTTTACATGAGTTGAAACCTGTCATTATGTATAAATTCTACCCATTGGTCTTTTTCTATTGTTAGGGATTCACATGGAACATATAAATGAAACCATGACTATTGTAAAATGTAGATGCTTTTGAAGACAGCTTTATCTTTATTTTTATTTTACTCTATTCTGAGTTATATATAAAGACTATATTTTCTTCAGCTGTCCATCATAAGATGTACTTTATGAGTTTCTTTACTATCCCATCGCTCCTTTTCTTCCTAAATTGAATATAGCCTTCCAAATGTGGTATGACTGGCACAGAATCGTCTCTGTCATGTTCTGGATAATCTGTTAACTTGAATCTTTGCATTAGCCTCTGTGGGTTCTGTACTTGTGGAATTGATTTTTTCTACAGACTTTTTAATCAAGTGAAATTCCATACGAATGGATTCAGCCAATCTCAGATTAGAATCAAGTTCATTTTTCCATTATATTTTTATTATTTTCAAATTTAATTGTCTGTGGTAATTCTCATTGATGTCATTAATACAAAGATTGAACAACATAGGTTCAAAGACAGAGCTTTTCAACCTGCGCTCCCCTTTTGGTTATTTGTGTTATTTAAACAACTAAGAATGTACTGTCACTTAGTTGAGTGTTTCTCAAACTGTCTATTGTGTAGGATCAGTTTTTTTGTTTGTTTGTTTTGTGTTTTTTTTTATCCTCACCCGAGAAACAGAAACATCGACGTGAAGGGACACATCGAGTGGCTGCCACCCGCACGACCAACCAGGGCCAGGGACAAACTGCAACCGAAGTACATGCCCTTAGCGGGAACCGAACCCGGGTCTCTCCGGACCGCAGGCCGACGCTCTAACCGCTGAGCCAAACCGGCCAGGGCTAGGATCAGTTTTTATTTTTAATTATACATTGTCATAAACCAATACTTTCGTAAAATGCAACAAATGTGAATTACTAGAAAAATAACAGGAAAAAGATTTTCAAAAGCTATATACTGCTTATTGAGAGTGTATGTATAAGCAGTTAGTATAATGAATACATATTACAAGTTATGAGCAATGTAGTGATTCCCCATATCGAACACATTTTCACAGTTTAAACAACTACCATGTATGTCAATGTTGAAAGTTGTTAAGGAGACAAATGAAGTTGGATCTTGATAATCAAGGTTGTATTAATGACATGTAACTTGCAAGGGGAGTATGTGTATCTAAACCCTTTAATTGTAGTTGAATTTAAATTATCTTGATTTACTTTTACTTTGAAATGATTACAGATTCATAGGACATTGAAAAAATAATACAAAAAAGTCTCATTTACCATTCTCCCAGTTTACCCCAATAGCAACATAGTATATAACTAAAGTACAGTATCAAAACCAGGAGATTAACATCCGTACAATCCACAGACCTTATTCAGATTCCCCTATTTTACATATATTCCTGTGTGTGTGGGCGTGCATATATGCAGGCACAGGTCAATGCACTTTTATCATGTACATTTGTATAACCACCACCATACCATATCTACAATTTTGTCATTTCACAATTTATATAATGGAAACATACAGTTATGGAACCCTTTGAGATTGAAATTTTTTTCACTCAGCATAATCCACTTAAGATCCATCAAATTATTTTGTGTCCATAGTTATTTCTGTTGCTAAGTAGTATTCCCTGGTGTGGATGTACCACAGATTGTTTAACTATTCTCCACCCATTGAAGGATATTTGGGTTGTTTCCAATTTTTAGTATTTACAAATAAAACCAGCATAATCACTCATGTACAGGGTTTTGTGTGGACGTGTGTTATCATTTCTCTGGGATAAATATTTAGGAGTTTGAGTGCTGGATTGTATGGTAAATGTATGTTTGGTTTTTAAAGAAATTATCCATCTATTTTTGAATGGCTGTATCATTTTACATTCCCAGTAGCAGTGTATGAGAGATGCAGTTTTTCCAATCTCATCAGCATTTAGTATTGTCACTTTTTATTTCAGCTGTTCTGACTAGTATTTTGTGATATCTCAACTCATGATTTTAACTTGTGTTACCTAAATGACTAATAATGTTTGAACTTCATGTGCTTGTTTGCCATCCATGTATGCTTTAGTGAAATGTCAACTAATAGATATTTTGCCTTTTTTGTTTGTTTGTTTTTTGTTAATTCTCACCCCAAGATATTTTTCTGTTGACTTTTAGAGTGGAAGGGAGGAAGGGGGGAGAGAGAAACAGATGTGAGAGAGACACATCAATTGGTTGCCTCCCACATGACCCCAACCGGGGCTGGGGATTGAACCTGCAACCCAGGTATGTGCCCTTGACTGAGAATCGAACCCATGATCTTTCCATTTAACCACTGAGCCAAACTGGCCAGGGCTCTTTTGTTAATTTTAATTGTATTTTCTTGTTTTACTGTTAGGTTTTGAGATTTCTTTATAGTAGACATATTTTAGATATAAGAAATGTTTAATATATGTGGTTTGCAGATATATTCTCCCAGTCTGTAGCTTCTCCCTCTTAATAAACTGTTTCACAAAGGAGAAGCTTTTCATTATGACAAAATATAGTTAATTGATTTTTTTGCTTTTATGGATAATGATTTTGTTGTCATGTTTAAGAACTCTGCCTTGAACTATATTGTACAGATTTTCTCTTATTTCCATTTGTTTTCTGTTTTACATTTAAGTCTGTGATCCACTTGAAATACGTTTTTTACACAGTATGAGGTTATTAGGTCAAGATTCAATTTTTATTCTGTTTGATATATGTGTTTACCTGTTTGCCAGTACACACTGCCTTGATTACTATAGCTTTATATAGTAAGTCTTAACATCAGGGAATGTGATCCTTCCTACTTTATTATTCTTTTTTCAAAATTGTTTTTAGCTTTTCTAGTTTCTTGGCCTCTCCAAGTAAATTTTAAAATAAACTTGTCTCGCCCTGGCCGGTTTGGCTCAGCTGTTAGAGCATCGGCCTGCGGTCCGGAGAGACCCGGGTTCGGTTCCCGCTAAGGGCATGTACCCCGGTTGCAGTTTGTCCCCGGCCCTGGTTGGTCGTGCGGGTGGCAGCCACTCGATGTGTCCCTTTCACGTCGATGTTTCTCTCTCTCTGTCTTCCTCTCCCTCCCACTCTATCTGTACAAAAAAATGGAAAAGTGTCCTCAGGTGAGGATAAAAAATAAATAAATTAATTAAATAAAATAAAATAAACTTGTCTCTATCTAAAACATGAAAATCTTACTGGATTATGATAGGAATTGTATTACATGTATAGATCAGTTTGGACAGAATTAACATTTTTGTTGAGGCTTCCAGCCCATGAGTACAGTATACCTCTCATTTATTTAGATTTTTGATTTCTTTTATCAATGTTTTTATGGACAGATTAGTTCCATATATTTTATTAGATTTATACTCAGCTCTTTTGAGTGATTGTAAATTGTAGTTAGTTTGAATCTCAGTTTCTACATAATTAGTACTAATATATTTGTGTGTTTTTTATGTTGGTCTTATATTCTGTTACCTTACTGAATTCACTTAATAGCCCAATGGGTTATTTTTGGACTAAAGATTTGCTATGTGGAAAATCAGGTCATCTGTAAATAGAGATGGTTTTCATTTTTCCTTTTTAATTTGTATACCTTTTACTTCTTTTTCTTGTCTTACTGCACTGGCTAGGATTTCCATTATTATGTTGAGTAAGTGATGAGAGTGGATATTCCCATCTTTTTTCCTGATTTTAAGGGGAAAGCATTCTGTTTTTCACCAATTACTATGCTATTAGGTATGTAGGTTCTTTGTCGGTGCACATTATCAGCTTAAGGAAATTTCCCTCTGTTCCAACTTTACTGAGTGCTAATGCCCTGATTGGGTGTTGGATTTTCTTAAATGCTTTTCTTTATCAAATGATATGATTATATCGTTTTTATTGCGTACCCTATTGAGATGCTGGATTACATTGATTAATTATTGAATATTGAATTAGCCTTGCATTCCTGGAATAAACCCCACTTGGATGTGGTGTATACTTCTTTGTATAAATTGCTGAAATTTACTACCTAGCAAAAGAAACTAGAAATAAAAAAACATCTGTTTAGCTTAGCACAGTGGTCTGCAAACCTGGCTGATCAGAATCAACTTGGCAGGCTTAAAAATAAACATTTTCAACCCCTGACCCCACACTGATTGAGTTTGGAGTGCTGACTACGAATCTTCATTTTAAATAAGCTGTCTGGATGATTCTTGTGGAGAAAAGTTAGCTCAGTCATCTATTTGTGAGTTGAAGTAGTATGTTAAGATTAATGTTTAGTGTTCAAAACAAAAACAAAAGTTTTGAGAAGGCTGCCAGAGTTTTCCTGTTGATTATGTGACAGATGTGACCTTAGTGCTTTCTTCTTTTCGAGGATAGAGAAATGAATACAATAACAATCCCTGTCACCTAGAGGTACATACATTGTTTAATAGGTGAAATAGATGTGCAAACACAATTACAAAATATTGTGATAAATACTATGATAGAGATAAAGGCCATTAAGTGATCTGAGTTTGGACAAATTAATTACCTGGAGATTTTAAGGAAAACTTTAAAAAATACATATTTGACTCTGGCCGGTTTGGCTCAGTGGTTAGAGCGTCAGCCTGCGGTCTGGAGAGACCCGGGTTTGGATCCTGCTAAGGGCACGCACCTCAGTTGCATTTTGTCCCCAGCCCTGGTTGGTCGTGCGGGTGGCATCCACTCGATGTGTACCTTTCATGTTGCTGTTTCTCTTCCTCTCTCTCCCTCCCACTCTATTTGAACAAAAAATTGAAAAATATCCTCAGGTGAGGATAAAAAAAAATACATATTTGAACTGGGTTTTAAAGAATGATATAAAAGTTTTCACACAAAAGAAAATGGCATGTGCAAATGTGGTTTGTTCAAATAATGGAGAGAAATTAGGAGATGGGACGTGAGACCGTGGAATATAAATTGTAGCTCAGTTGATAATAGGGCCTTATTTTCTGTACTGAGTTTGGAATCAGTGGGCTTAACACCAGACGATTTCAGATAGGAGAACAACATGATCAGAATAATATTTTAGGATAGCTGATAACACTGGAGTTAGAGACAAGAGGCTGAAAGCAGAGAGACCAATTAGGATGTTCTTCCTGTGGCAGTAGAGGTGAGTGCATAAACCAAGTGAATTGACAGGGTGGAGAATAAAAGATGCATTGGAGATACTTCAAATGTTAAATCCGTAGGAGTTAGTAATTGATTTAACTAGACTAGGAGACATACAGGATTTTTTTGGGAGGTCGGGGGTCTTTTTACCCAGGTTAGGAAATAAAAGGAAAACAAATTTAGAGGATATAGCTTCTAATTACTTCTCATTTTTCTTCAGTCCACCAGTCCCAGTCATGCTGTGGTAGCCAATGTTCAGCATGTTTTGCATCTAATGAAGCAGCACAGTAAAGTCTTGTGCAATGATCGAGTAGTCAGCAGTGTTCCTTTGGCAAAGCAAGTATCTTCACGAAGTGGTAAAAGTAAGAAGTTGTCAGTAACGCCTTCCTCCTCTAGCAGCATTAATGAAGAGCTGTCAGAAGTCTTACAGACTTTACAAGATGAATTTGGGCAAATGAGCTTGTGAGTTTTAGTTTTTTGTATTTTGTTTTTAATTACATTTTCTTGTGAAACCTCATTTTAACTTCTTGGTGACTTTACTAGTCATATCTTTCATTTGTTCAACAAATATTTGTTGAACACAGTCCTTGCACCAACCACTGAGCAAGTTATTAGGATTTTAACAAATATAACTATTACTATCACTTATAACTTGGAAATTTGTTGCTCTATTTAAAAAATTGAGACATTTTTAAAGGCACAGAGCAGTAGTCCCATGGTGAGTGATTTGCATGCATATAACCATGGAAACAGGAAACTTAACCAAGCCCCATTTTTGTTTTTATATAGTGATCACCAGCAGCTTGCAAAACTTATTCAGGAATCACCAACCGTTGAACTGAAAGACAATTTAGAGTGTGAACTGGAAGCATTAGTGGGAAGGATGGAAGCAAAAGCCAGTCAAATAACTAAAGTTCGAAAATATCAAGCTCAGGTAATTCAGGTTTCCTTTTACTCATTTCTAATGATTAAAAACAAAACAACAACAAAAAAACCTGGTCTTCAAATACTTTAATTGATGACATTGTAAATGTATCATAGATAGGGAGCTATAGGAAGGCTTTCTTTACTGTAGACACTTATTAATTCAGTTTATTATTAAGAATTGGTGTTAAGTGGTCTAGAAAAAAGACATTGTCTTGTAGGCTCTTAGATTTTATCATTTAAAATACATCTCTTAAGTACTGTGTTTCATATTCTGATCTTTATATGAATAAACAATTTCTGTGATGAATATACATGGTTAGGGTTTTCATCTGGAGAGAAACACGATGATTCGTGTATTTAAGAGATTAGTCTGAATGCTGGGAGAGTGATGGGGACCAGGCAGAGAGGCTGAGCAACCAGTGAGGCCTTTTTAAATTTATTTATTGTTTTATTAATCCTCACTCGAGCATATTTTCCATTGATTTTTTCTTTTCTTTTTTCTTTAGAGTGGAAAGGAGGAGGGAGGGAGGGAGGGAAGGAGGGAGGGAGGGAGGGAGGGAGGAAGAGAAAGAGAAAGAGAAGGACATCAATGTGAGAGACACATCAGTCAGTTGCCTCCCACATGACCCCTTCTAGGGCCAGGGGTCAAATCTGCAATCCAGGTATGTACCCTTGACTGGAATCAAACCCATAACCCTTCAGTCCTTGGACTGATGCTCTAACCACTGAGAAAAACTGGCCAGAGCCAGTAAGGCCATTTTTAAAAAAAAATTTTTTTTCTTTATTGATTTTAGAGAGAGGGGGAGGGAGAGGGAGAGAGAGAAAGAGAGATAAACATAAGTAAGCGAGAACATCGATTGTCTGCCTCCAGCATGTCCCTCACTGGGAATTTGGCCCACAACCTGGGCATGTGCCCTGATTGGGAATCGAACCAGTGACCTCTTGGTGAATGGGTTGACACTCAGCCACTGAGCCACATTGGCTGGGCAGTGAGGCCTTTTAAGCCTACCTCTATCAGGGGTAGTTGGTTACTGCAGTTGAGGAGGAGACAGATTTTAGGTATATTTTAGAGTAGAAATACCAGGGCTACTTCCTGCTGGATCTCATATGTATTGAAATGGAGAAGACTCAGAGCAGAACAGGTTTGGCTGACATTTATTAATTGGTTGCTATATAATAGGCACAATGAAGAGTGCTTTGAATATGTCATCTCATGCCAGAAATTTTAAGCACTTTTTCTAAAATTTGTTTTCAAAGGAAAAAATATATATATATATATACATATAAAAATATATATATAAATATATATATATATATTCCTGTAGGAGTAATGATCTTATTTGTTTCTTATACATCAGACTTGACTTTGGAACACTGACATGCCAGCAGCAATTCATTTTAGCCAGCAGCTAAAGTAAAAATTAAACTTTCTTATTTTTTTTATTATTGTTGACAGTGTTATAGATGTCCCCCATTCCCCTCTCCCCACCCCGAGCCTTCACCACACTATTGACTGTGTCCATGGGCTACTCATATATGCATATAACTTCTTTGGTTAATTTCTTCTGGTCTCTCCCATCCCCTATCCCCTCTGAGATCTGTCAATCTGTTCCATGCATCCATGCCTCTGGACCTATTTGTCAGTTTATTTTGTTCATTGGATTCCATATATAAGTGAGATCATGTGATATTCGTCTTTCTCTAACTGGCTTATTTTGTTTAGCATAATAATCTCCAGGTCCATCTATGCCATTGCAAAGGATAAGAGCTCCTTTTTTATAGCTGCATAGTATTCCATTGTATAAATGTATTGCTGCTTTTATATCCACTCATCTACTCATGGGTACTTGGGCTGATTCCATATCTTGGCTATTGTAAATAACACTGCTGTGAACATAGGGGTGCATATACTCTTTCTGATTGGTGTTTCCGGATTCTTAGGATATATTCCCGGAAGTGGGATCACTGGGTCAAATGGCCGTTCCATTTTTAATTTTTTGAGGAAACTCTATACTGTTTTCCACAGTGGCTGCACCACTCTGGATTCCCACCAGCAGTGTACCCTAGTATATGTCCTTTCCTTCACATCTTTTCCAGCTCTTAATGTTTGATGATTTATTGATGATAGCCATTCTGACAGCTGTGAGGTGATACCTCATTGTAGTTTTAATTTGCATCTGTTTGATGATTAGTGACATTGAGCATTTTTTTCATATGTCTATTGGCCATCTGTGTGTCCTATTTGGAGAAGTGTCTATTGCCTGTTTTTTCAGTTGGGTTATTTGTCTTTCTTTTGTTGAGTTGTATGAGTTCTTTATATATTTTGGAAATTAACCCCTTATCAAATGTATCATTAGCAGATATGTTCTCCCATACAGTGGATTCCCTTTTCATCTTGAAAATGGTTTCTTTTGTTGTGCAGAAGCTTTTTAGTTTGATGTAGTCCGACTTACTTATTTTTCCTTTGTTTCATTTACCCTAGATTTATTGGTGAAAATTCTGCTACGTGAGGTGTCTGTGATTTTACTACCTATGTTTTCTTCTAGAATTTTTATGGTTTTGCAGTTTACATTTAAGTCTTATCCATTTTGAGTTTATTCTTGTGTATGGTGTAAGTTGGTGGTCTAGATTCATTTTTATTGCATGTACCTGTCCATATTCCCAACACTATTTATTGAACAGACTGTCTTTTTACTCCATTGTATGCTCTTGCCTCCTTTGTCGAATATTAATTGACCATAATGACTTCGGTTGATTTCTGGGGTCTCTGTTCTGTTCCATTGATCTGTATACCTGTTCTTGTGCCAGTACCAGGCTGTTTTGATTACAGTGGTTTTGTAGTATAGTTTGAAATCTGGTTCTGTGATCCCTCCAGCTCTGTTCTTTCTCATGATTGCTGGAACTATTTGGGGTGTTGTTTGGTTCTATACAACTTTTTGGAATATTTGTTTTAGATCTGTGAAATATGCTGATGGTATTTTAATTGGGATTATGTTGAATCTATAGATTGCTTTGGGTAGTATGGACATTTTAATGGTGTTATTTCTTCTAATCCATGAACAGGGTATGTGTTTTCACTTGTTTGTATCTTCCTCTGTTTCTTTATTCAACGTCCTGTATGCTTTTCCAAGTACAGGTCTTTATCTCCTTGGTTAAGTTTATTACTAGGTATCTAATTTTTTGTTGTTGTTGCAGTGGTATTCTATTCTCTGAGAGAGCATTTTTGATGTATAAAGATGTCATTGATTTCTGGATGTCATTAATTTTGTGCCCTGCTACTTTGCAAAATTCATTTATTAAATCTAGTAGGTTTTTGGTGGACTCTTTCGGGTTTTCTTTGTAACAATATCATGTCATCTGCGAATAATGACAGTTTTACTTCTTCCATTTCAGTTTGGATGCCTTTTATTTTTTCTTCTTGTCCGATCGCTGTGGTTAGGACTTCCAGTACTATGTTGAAGAGTGGTGAAAGCAGACATCCCTGTTATATTCCTGTTCTTAAAGGAAATACTGTTAGTGTCTGCCCACTGAGTATAGTGTTGGCTTTAGGTTTGTCATATATGGCCTTTATTATGTTGAGGTATGATCCTTCTATTCCCATTTACTGAGAATTTTTATCATAAATGCATGCTGGATATTTTTGAATGCCTTTTCTGTGTCCATTGATATGATCATGTGACCGTTAACCTTCAGTTTGCAGTTTACCACATTTATTGCTTTGCGAATATTGTACAAGCCTTGCATCCCCAGAATAAATCCCACTTATCATGGTGTATGATCTTTTTACTGTATTGCTGGATCCTGTTTGCTACTGTTTTGTTGAAGATTTTAGCACCTGTGTTCATTATGGATATTGGCCTGTAATTTTTTTTCTTTGTAGTGTCTTTATTTGGTTTTGGAATTAGGATAATGCTAGCCTCATAAAAAGAAGTCTTTTTCCTCTTGTATTTTTGGGAATAGTTTGAGGAAGATAGATGTTAGTTCTTCTTTGAATGTTTGGTAAAACTATTCTATGAAGCCAGTCCTTTTTAAAGATTTTTTTATTGATATTTCTAAAGAGAGAGAGAAACATAGATGTGAGAGCAAAATATCAATCGGCTGCCTCCCACATGCACCCCCCCCACCCCTAGGGACTGAGCTGAAACGCAGGCATGTGCTCCAACCGGGAATCGAGCCTGCAACCCCTCAGTGCACGGGATGCCGCCCAACGCCCTTGAGCCACACCAGCCAGGGTGAAGCTAGTTCTCTCTAATGGAACACTGACTTGCCAGCAGCAATTTATTTTAGCCAGCAACTAAAGTAAAAATAAAGCTCCCCTATTTTAAATTAAATTATTCTAATAGTGTAATAGTAAAATAAAAATCTTTTCCATAGTATTAATACATTACCACTACATCTCTTCATGCATCTGGAACATGCTTCTTTGCCTGCTCTGATTAGAATGCCTTTCTCCTCATCTACTGTCCTTTGTTTCCCCAGTTAGATTTTTTCCTTCCTCCAGATCTTCCCCCAACCCCCTTATTTCTCACTTACCCTGTTTTGTACTTTGGCAACGCAACCTTACTTCTGATACTGCACCACAATTGATGTGTTCACTCTTGTTTACTCTATTTGTATGTCACTATATATTTTACGCACTAAGTATTAAATGACTAGTACAGTAGATTTTTTAAGTCTTTAAAAAAATAAACCCAGAATATATTTCTTGCATTTTTAATTAGTATAAGAGTTTAAAGTACCGGTTATAAGAAGAGAATGTTTTCATTAAATTCTCTGTTTTTTCTAACTTGGTTATTTGGTATAGCTGGAGAAACAGAAGATGGAAAAGCAGAAAAGGGAATTAAGAACCACCAAAAAGACTCTTGATGAGGAAGGAAACAGCAGCAGCCGTTCTTCTGGAACCGCAGGGACCACAAATAAGAAGGACTTTGCCAAACCCAGACCTGGAGAAAAAAGCAGGAAAAATCTTCAGTTATTGAAGGACATGCAAACCATACAGAGTTCATTACAAAGCAATAATTTATGTTGGGATTACTGACTGGTACCAGGTCATAAATTTTATTCAGATAACCTGTACCTCTTCAATCAGATGTTGACAATTTACTTTCCAGGTCTCATATTCTTACATTGGAATTAATAGGTGTTAAGGGGCCCAAGTTTTATTCATTACACAGGCTTCAAGTCACGACTAAATGTTAAGCCAGCTAAATGGAAATTGGGAGTTTTAAAGGCTTAGAAGCCACAAGTACTCTGTTTCTTTGAGATGAATTTGCTGTACTGAAATATTGTGCTTTGTAAACAAAATACCAATTTTTTACTTGTGGGTGTGATTTTTTAAAATAGTTCCTTATATGTAAGTAAAATTAGGTTTAAATTATCAAAATATGAGGCTGTCCCATAGGCAATGTTTGCTCGAAAAGTCTCATTTTTAAATCTTCCCCCGGCATGAATTGCCCATTTCTTCTTGCCACTACAACCATTAAATATACTTTGTTTTGACTTTTGATGGAGGTTTTTATATTTAAATATTTATACATATTTAAGAAGATGTTTTGTGTTGCTTTTTGACATTTCAAACATCAATCAGTATTGAATACATATACTGATTTTTAATCCAGTTAATGTTTTTTAAAAGACTCAATCATTTCAAGTCAATTAACTATGAAGATTATGAAAGAATTTTTTAAAGTATAAACAAATTGTAATGAAGTAGATGAGGTTTTGGAATAAAGAGAGAAGGGGAGGTGGTGTAAACGTGTTTGTTGTTTTTAAATAGTACATGTGTGTAATCATGCTGTTCAGTTCAGAGCATTATGGGTTTTAATCTTTATGAAGAACCTCTTGGATATTTTCATTGATGTCCAGTGAGTACAAGCTTCACTGTACACGTGCAATTAATTGTGTTAATAATGTAAATCATAATTTTGAATATTCAAAACATGTTAACTTTTTATAAATTTATCACTTAAGTCAATAAAGCAGCTTTTTTAAGGAAACACTGAAATTTTCCTTAACAGCCTGTTAATAAAGGCTTTATTTGTTGTAATCTTTCCAAAAACATGCATTTCTAAGTAGGACATAGCATATTATGAGAAACAGTAATAATATATGGTATTTAATACATAATTTACTTGCCTTTCTCATGCTTATATGGAAACTAAACCCAAGGAAATTAAATTATTTCATGGTATATGGTAAGATACTCTTAGGAGTACTAAGGAACACATTAACCATATAATAAAGAGCTTCCTTTTTATACCTCCCCTGGGATTGCAATTGATTTCTAGGATTTTATCTAGATAAGCAGCAAGAATGCTAGTGGCTGGCTGGGCACTGAGTCTACTGAATGTTTTTTCTACAGAGTTCTTGTTTTAGGGTCTTGACAATAGGGGGTATTCGTGAATCTCCTGAAATTGTATGTAAACTTTCCCTTGCGTGTGCAGTCTTCTGATGAGCAGGTTTGTATCTTCATCGAATTCGTTAACAGTCCATAGACCTAAGCAATCACTGCTCCATAACATGGAAAATATTTATTGTGTCTCAGCCACCTTTTCAACTATTAAAACTTTTGTTAACGTTTAGTTTTTAATTTCAGGTCATTAAATTGTGTAACCCTGACTTGCACTGCAGTGGCTCCACATCCTAATTAGAAGAGTGGTTTAATGTTGGTAACCTACCCCGTCCCTCAGCTGGGAGTCAAACCGAAATACTCATTCCAGCGTTTGATGCCCTCAGGTGAAAACTGAAAACAAGAAAATACTGCTTTGGCTTCCTTGTTTGAGAATTTATCAGAGGATTCTGTTGGCATTCATCCAGTTACAAGAATCTTCTATGTGTAAGATGCCAATATGGATACCAACCTGAGTAAGAAAGGTATGTTTACAGGTAGGTGGTAGACATCTGAATTACTCATTTCAATCTAAGGTGGTGTATACAGTGGTGACAGCACGGGCACACTGTTTAGGGAGCAGAGAAGAAGCTGGGGCATGGCAGACAAGGTACGGAGGAATCAGGAAAACTTCCTGAAGGAGGAAATGGTGCCTACACACTAGTGAGCAAGAACTAGCTACAAGGGAGAACTGTTTCAAGTCAACAAGACAAATGAACGAAAGCAAGGAGGCGGGAATCTTCGTTTACATGGGAGAGTTGTGAGGAGCTGAGGAGTATTGATATATAATTGTTGAAGTATACAGATAAGAAGAACAGGTTCAGCAGATAGGTCACAGGAGGCTGCTAAGGAGCTTCAACTTAACCACATAGGTCTCTAAATTTCGTGTCCCTGATCATGAAGGAAAAAATAACATCTGTACAACCAATATTTATAGGTATTTATGAATTTTCTTAGAGGAAAAACAAGTTATGAAACATACACCTGTTAATATTCTCTTTGGGAAATGTTATCATTCTGTTCTTTTTAAAAACCAGATTGAGTTTTCGTTAATGTTTTTTTGTGGAGTTGTATAAGCTCTCTGTACTTTGGATGTTAACCCCTTATCCGACGCATGGTTTGCAAAAATGTTCTCCCAGGTTGTCTTTTTGTTTTGTTTTGTTTTTGCTGTGCAGAATCTTTTAAATTGGGTGTAGTCTCATGTTGGTTTTTGCTTTTGCTGGTGCTTTTGGCATCATGTTAAAAAAAAGATCATATCCAGCCCTGGCCAGTGTGGCTCAGTTGGTTGGAGGTTCCATACAGCAAAAGGCGGCAGGTTCAGTTTCGGTTGGGGCATGTGCAGGTGACAGCCAATTAATGTTTCGTCTCTCCCTCTCTCTAAAATCAATTTTAAAAAATAAAAATTGAGAGAAAAGATCATATGCAAGAGCTTCCTCTCTGTTTTCCTCTAGTACTTTTATGGTATTAAGTGTTATGTTTAAGTCTTTGAACCATTTAGAGTTAATTTTTGGGATTTTATGTAGATAAAATTGTATCAGTAAATAAAGACAATATTACTTTTTCCTTTCCTACTTGGATGCATTTCTTTGTTTTGCCTAATTGCTGTAGCTAGGACTTCTGGTACTATATTGAATAAGTGGTAAAAGTGGGCATCCTTGTTTTGGTTTTGATCTTAGAGGAAAAACAACTTAAACAATTTTTCCCTATTCAGCATGTTAACTGTGGAAGTGTTTCATATGGACTTCATTATGTTGAGGAATGTTCCTTCCACATCCAATCTGTTAAAAGTTTTTATCCTGAAAGGGTGATGTATTTTGTTAAGTGCTTTTCCTGCATCTATTGAAATGATCATGTGACTTTTTAAAAATTTTTTCTTTATTGATTTTAGGGAGAGAGGAAAGGGGGGGAGAGAGAGAAAGATCAATGAGAGATAACATTGATTGGCTGCCCCCTGCATGCCCCCCACTGGGGATCGGGCCCACAACCTGGACATGTGCCCTGACTGGGAATCAAACCGGCAACCTCTTGGTGCATGGGTTGATGTTCAACCACTGAGCCACGCCAGCCAGGCTGATCATGTGATTTTTATCTTTCAGTTTTGTCATGTGATGTATTACATTTATTGAGTTGCATATGTGGAACCATCTTTGCATCCCGGGGATGAATTCCACTTGGTCATGGCATATAATCCTTTTACTGTGTTCTTGCATTTGGTTTTCTAATATTTTGTTGAGAATTATTGAATGTAGTTTCATCAGGGATATTGATCTATAGTTTTCTTGTGCTATTCTCCTCTGTTTTTGTTTTTTGTGTTGTTTTTTTTTATGCTCACCCGAGGACATTTTTCCATTTTTTGTTCAGATAGAGCGTGAGGGAGAGAGAGGAAGAGAGAGAGAGAGAGAGAGAGAGAGAGAAACATCGATGTGAAGGGACACACCGAGTGGCTGCCATCCGCACGACCAACCAGGGCCGGGGACAAACTGCAACCGAGGTATGTGCCTTTAGCGGGAACCGAACCCGGGTCTCTCTGTACTGCAGGCCGACGCTTTACCCGCTGAGCCAAACCGGCCAATAACTATGCTGTTATTGTTTTTTTTAATCAATGTAATGCTGGTTTCCTAGAATGAGTTTGGAAGCATTCCCTCAATATTTTGGAAGAGTTTGAGAAGGGTTGTTAATTCTTTAGATGTTTGGTAGACTCAAACCAAATGATCTAGTGAAGCCATAATCTGTCTGGTCCTGGAGTTTTCTATGTTGGAAGTTGTTTGATTACTGATTCAACCTCTTTACTCATTGTCTGTTCAGATTTTCTATCTCTTCCTGATTCAAACTTGGTAGGTTGTGTGTTTCTAGAAATGTATGCATTTCTTCTGGGTTATATAATTTGTTGGCGTATAATTGCTCATAGGACTCTTATGATCCTATATATTTCTATAGTATGAGTTATATTGTCTCTTCTTTCATTTCTAAAGTTTCTGTCTTAGTCTAGCTAAAGGTCTGTCAATTTTATTTTTTCAAAGAACCGCCTCTTATTTTCATTGGTTCTTTCCATTGTTTTTTCTGGTCTCTTATTTATTTCTGCTCTGATCTTTATAGTTCCTTCTGCTAAATTTTGGGCTTAACTTGTTCTTTTTGAAGTTCCTTGAAGTATAAAGTTAGGTTGTTTCTTTGAGATCTAATTTCTTAATATATGTTTATTGCTATAAACTTTGAGAACTGCTTTGGCCTCATCCCACAAGAGTTAGTATGTTATATATTCATTTTCATTTCAAGATAATTTTATATTTCCTTTTGGTTTCTTCCTTGGTTGTGTAGAAATGTATTCAGTTTCCATATATATGTAGATCTTCTCACATTCCTCTTGATTTCTTGGTCTGTACCACTGTGGTCAGAAAAGATGGCTGGTATGATTTCAGTCTTCTTAAACGTGCCAGGATTTGCTTAGTGTCCTTTCATATGAACTATCCTGGAACATGTTCTTTGCGCACTTGAGAAGAATGTGTAGTCTGCTGCTATTGGATGGAATGATCTGTATATGCCTGTAAGTCCATTTGTTCTAAAGTATCTTCCAATTCCAACATTTTCTTGTAGATGTTCTTGTCTGGACAATCCACTGGTAATAGTGGGGTTCCCCTGCTGTTGTATTTTTGTCTATTTCTCTCTTAGGATATGTTTAGTATTTGCTTATGTTTTGATATTCAGGTGTTGAGAGCATATATATTTATGATTGTTTTATTTTCTCAATGTATTGACCCTTTTATCATTACGTAATTTTCTGATTTACCATTTTTGGCTTAATCTATTTTGACTGATCTAAATATGGCTATGCCTGCTTTCTTTTCGTTTCCACTTACTTGAAATGCATCTTTCAGCCCTTTACTTTGAAAGTCTGTGTGGCTTTAAAGTTGAAATGAGTCTCCTGTAGGCAGCATAGGGTCATGTTTTCAGTCCATTTTCATTTACATTTAGGGTTATTATTGATATTATAAGGACTTACTACAGCCATTTCATATTTTACTTTCTAGTTATTTTGTTTCCATTGTTCCTTTTTCCTTCTGTTTCAGATCTCCTTTTGTAAGTTGGTAGTTTTCCATGTTTCTGTGTCTGTTCTAGATTTTTGCTTTGTTTACCATAGGGTTTACATAAAGCATCTCAGAAAAATAGTACATTTTATGCTGATAGCAATTTATCTTCCTTTACCTATAAATATTCCATCTTTTTACTCCTTCCTTTTGTGTGTGTGTGTGTTTTTTTTAATCCTCGCCCAAGAATGTTTTTCCATTTTTGTTCAGGTAGAGTGGGAAGGAGAGAGAGAGAAAGAGAGAGAGAAACATTGACGTGAAAGGGACATGTCAAGTGGCTGCCTCCCGCACTACCACAACCAGGGCCGGGGACAAACTGCAGCCGAGGTACGTGCCCTTAGCGGGAACCGAACCCGGGTCTCTCTGGACCGCAGGCTGATGCTCTAACAGCTGAGCCAAACTGGCTAGGGCCCCTTTTGTTTTTCTGATGTCACAAATTACATTTTTATTCTGTGACTGTCAACAAATTGTAGTATAGTTATTTTTAATGCTCTCTAACTTTATGCTGTAATTGTTTACTATGCTATTCTAAAAAAGAGAGTTTTCAGATTCTGTCACCTTAGTAAGAGTTTTGGGTACTTTCATCTTTTTATTTCAGTTTGAAGACCTTCTTTCAACATTTCTTATAAGGCAGTTGATGAACTCCCTCACTCTTTGTTTGGGAAGATCTTTATTGCTCCTGCATATCATAAGGATAACTTTGCTGGAGTGGTCTTGGGTAGCAGTTTTTGTCTTTCAGTATTTTGGATATGTCATTCTACTCTCTTCTGGTCCGTAGAGTTCTGCTTAGAAATCTTCGGATAGCCTCATGGGAGTTTCTTTGTAGGCCACTGCCCACCCCATCCCTGGCTGCATTTAAAACTGTCATTGACTTTTGAGAATTTCATTATAATGGTTCTTGGAGATGGTCTTACGCATTGAGATAATAAAGTGTTCCCTTAGCTTCTTATGCTTGCTTGTATGTCTAGTTTTTTCCCCAGGTTTGGAAAATTCTCAGCTATTATTTCTTTAAATGCTCCATTGGCTTCTTCTCTCTTCTCCTTTTGGTATATCCATTAATCTTGTCTTTTCTAATGGAGTCTGATGATTTTTTTTTATCCTCACTCGAGGACATTTTTCCATTTTTTGTTCAGATTGAGTGGGAGGGGGAGAGAGAGAAACATCAACATGAAAGGGACACATCGAGTGGCTGCCTTCCTCACGACCCAACCAGGGCTGGGGACAAACTGCAACCGAGGTACGTGCCCTTAGTGGGAACCGGACCTGGGTCTCTGGACCACAGGCCGATGCTCTTACTGCTGAGCCAAACTGGCCAGAGCGAGTCTGATGATTGTAGGGTTTCCTTCACTTTTTAACAGTTTTAGTTCTCTGCCCTTTTTTACCTGAATCATTTCAGAATTCCTAGCCTCCTGCTCATGTATTTTCTCTTCCATCTGATTTGCTCAATTTGCAATGCTTTCTAATGCATTTTTTTATCTTATTTGAGTTCATCAACTCCAAGGTTTTTGTTTTTCTTTAGAATTTCAATCTCTTTGGTAAAATACTCTTTTCATTTCATTAACTTATTCCTTAGTTGAATTACCTTTTTGAGTTTTCTTATAGCTTGTTAAATTTCATCATAATGGCTGTTTTGAATTCTTTACCAGTTGGACCACAATATTCAGTGTCTAGTTTTTTCTTTTTGTGGTATTTTATTACCATGATGTTTCATGTGTTTGACGAAGTGTGCCTCTGCTGCCACCTTTAGGTGATTAGGTGAGGCTTCATCTGTCTACTTTGATTCTAGCTGTTCAACAGGTTGCCAGTTTAGAAGTTCGCTTTCCAGAAGGTGGTGCTATAGCATAAGTTTTTGTTTCTCTTACTGGACCTGACTTGCTGCTAAAGTTGAAAATGTGTGCATAAAAAAAGGCGGATTTAAAAAGGCTGGTGGCAGAGTGGGAGGAGGTGTGTGCTTAGCACTTGGGGCGTTGGGTGGGCCCACAGCCCAGTAGGGGGATCCTTCAGTGAATGAGTCCTAGAAGTCCAAGGGCCAACCTCTTGCTGAGTCCTGGGGCAGACAGCAGGAAACGTGTTCCTTCAGTTCTGTCTTCTCTTCTTTTCCTCCCCACACTCCCTCCCCAGTCAGCGAGGGCTCAGAAATCCAGGTGATGCTGAGGAGCAATGGGACCCTCGGCTACATCCATGTGGCTGGGCAGACTTTCACTTTCCACAGCCTCTGCCACCGTCACCACCATGGCAGCCTCGTTGGCTCTGTAGCCTCCTAGGGCCAGCTCACCCCTCTGGGATGCACTGATGGACGACCTGTCAGCTGTCCCGGTGTGCAGTGCAGTCATCTACGTATCAGACCAAGATGGTAAAGGCTTAACTAAGGAAAAGTGTAGCATGGAGAGGAGAGAATGGATGTACAAAATATTTAGAGTAGAAAACTTAGCTTTAGTACCGATAGACTAGCCACTTAAATACTACTATAAATTTTCTTAAGAAATTTTACATAATGACCAATTTTGCATACACCAAGAAGAGCAGGGCTAAGGTTCAGACTGTAGTGAATTAACAAGTGAAAAAGCACTGTATTTTTTTCAGTATTGATTTGTGTATTGTAGGAGGAATGAGTTCAAAGTTAACATTTCATTTTGAAGAAGATGCAGGTAAATTACTAGGACAAGGACAAAACTTAAAGACAGTTGAAACTTTCTTTTATTTAAAGACCCAAGGGACAAGAAGCTCCTTTGTTACAGTACATAACATATGGCTCTTCTATAGAGTAAAACAGACATCGAGGGGTCAGTGTTTACACCAACACTGAACTCACTGCAGCAGGTGAACAGTGAAGCAGATTTCCTTTTCTGGCATTGAGACTAATACATTTTCACATGCAATAAATTCTTTGGTAGACTTAATCATTCAGTGGAATTACAGAATTTGCAAAGGACAGTAGTAAAATATTTCATGTAAAATTTGAGCACAATGCTTCTCACTGGTGATAAGCAATTTATACAGACTTCAGGAAAAAAAAAAGAATCCTAGTAAACTTTAAAATATTGCCTCAAAACTTAACTTCTGTGTTTAGATACACCAAAAAAATAGAAAAAGAAACCCTAAATAAAGTAGGGTAGGTAATGAGTTTTTAAAACGATTCATGTTTCTAGTAACTGGCCAAATGGAAACTAGTCTGAATGATGTGGCACGCTTTGAAATCCTGGACAGCTACGCCCTTCTCTCCGTCCTCCCCCAGCACATCTGTAAGGCATTTGAACAGCTAAGACATCCTAAGTACATACATAATGACAACAGTAATTTTCAACTATGACACCATAACATCCTCGAGACTCTGCCTTACCATATATGAAGAATGTGGGTGATCAAAGTAGATCACTTACCACAAAAAAAGAAAAACCCATGATGGGGAAAGAATCGGATTTGATCTGTCATGAGATTAAAGTGTGTGTGATGCCATGAATTAGCGTTGGTTTGAACCGGGACGCTCCTTCCCGGCTCTGCAGTGAGCTCTCTTCCTTGAAGCGGTGTATTTTTTAAATGGTCTGTATTCAGACACCAAAATTATAAAATAGCATTTTCCTTTTAAAACCAGAAACTTATTCCCACTGTGGATCCAAGATTGAAGCGTTTGAATATTTTCTGGGTGATTTAATAAGATTAGTGTTACAGCCATGTCATTATATATGGGTTACTCCACTTAAGCCACCTGCACTGCTACAGTTTTAAAGTCAGGTCTGAAATAAATAGAGCAAATGAATTTATCTCATAGATGGGTTCTAAATTCCGAAGACTTTCTACTCAGAGCTGCCATTTGTGATCGGGAGTCTGTGACGATGGCCCCGTCTAGAGTCCATTCATACCACAGTCTGGACGGGCGTGACGCACTGTGCAGGAGAGCTGGCTCTCTCCGAGGAGGAGGTCGATCGGTTGGAAATTTCTCTCTGTAGCTCCTCTACTTTTTTCTGAAGCTCTGCCCGTTTAGCAAGAAGTTCTTTGTATCTGTTGTGAATGGGCTCCTACAAGAGTAAAACAGCACAAAATTATTCCAACTAAGCAATTCTAAACAAACCCAAAGTCAGATTCTGGTATGTGGTCTTTTTTCAGCCATGGAGTCCAAGCCTGGCTTTCCTAGTGTCCCCAAGTAGTCCACAGAGTATTCTGAAACAAGATTTCCTATCATTTAGTTTCAGGTTTTTAGTCTTTTAAATAGTTCTAAGTAGTGAGTATTCCATATTTCAAAATGGACCAGAATTTTGTTAGGTTTTTAACTTTTCTAAAGCTATTTCTCTAACCTATTAAAGCAAGACCTCTAGAAGTTATCTAGTCTGATACCTTCACTTTACAGAGGAGGGAAGAAAAGACAAAACAGAAGTAATTTATCCATAGCCATTCAAGCAGTCAGGAAGACTTAAGAACCAAGTATACGGATTACCCACCCCTGTATAGTGCTTTTTTCTACTATACCATTGTATAACTATTGACAGGAAAAGGGGAAAGTTTTAAATAGGCACAGATAATTTTGCTAGTTGCTGTAAAGGGGACAAACAATTTATACAACTGCATGGATGAAAATGCCCACTGTACATTGTACAGCATACCTGTGGTTTCATTCTTGGATTCCACCTGACGTAATATCCCACCCAGAGCTCTAGGTGGCGCATGCTGGCTACTGGATAAAGGACATGATTGGAGTAGCTCCCATACAGAGGATTAGTGAAGTCTTCCAGCTGGCTATTTATGTAAGACCACAGTGACACAGTCCTTTTAGGAAGGTTCTGTAAGAAGAAAAAAGAAAGATTCTCCATCACATAAGCTATTTATACTTTAGATAAGGAAGTATATTGTGATCACTTGGACACTTTAGTGACAGCCCCACTTATATTAAAATCAGAGGGTATTGGGAAACAGTGCAGTTCTTCAAAAAGCTAGAGTTACCATGCCAGCACTTCCACTCTTAGGTTTATACCCAAGGGGAACTCGCACACAAAGTTTTGTACCCAGATGTTCAAAGCAGCATTACTTATAATAGCCAGAAATAGAAATCCAAGATCTTATCAACTGAAAAATGGATAAAATAGTTTATATAATGGAATGTTCAGCCATAAAAGGAATGAAGTATTGATACATGATACAAATGTAAGTGAAAACATACTAGACCAGGATGGGGCTCCTGTTTACCTCTTTTCCTCTTTGCTGTTCACTGTTACAAAGGAATGTTCCAAACAAACAGCTGTATAGGTGATCCAAAATGGTAATGAGAAAATACTCATTGAATTCAAATGCTGTAGGAAACTGCAAGTCAAACACCACAAACAAAACCATTAAGACATGTTTTTAAGCATATTCATTTTGTATATGAGTAGATCCTTTGTAATATGTAAAATTAGGCTAAACATATTCAAGCCTATATATTTCTAAGCCATTATATGTCATTATCTGCTTGGTTTTGTGTTAAAAAATCACTTTACCACTTTTCTAAGAATATATACCCAAATCTCCTTTTCTTACGCAGCAAGAATATCAGTGGTCTAGCAGTGTTCTGTGTCTCCTACATCTGCTGACCCTACACTTGCAGGCTGAGGACTTCTGACCTGGGCATTCTGGCAGCTCTAATCTTTCTCTGCCAAAAATGGCCATAAACAACATAGGAAGATTTTTCTTTAAATTTTCAAAAACATTGTTTTCTTTTTAGGAATTACACAAAAAATAGCATCAGTGTCTCCAAAAAAGGTCAGCAGTGCACAAAAATAAATGTCCAAGGCAGATGTGCAGATCATTCAAAAGCCAACCTGCTCATCTTCGTAGAGGAACATCCAGTCGAACGGGAGTCGGGAGTGTCGTGTGATCTAGTACTTTGGCAGCCTCTTTCTAACTAAAAAGAAATTTCACTTTCTCCTTAACCTAAGGACGGGCTTACTGGATGTCTTAATATTACACAAACAACACAATTTGTGGGAATTTATCAAGGACGAATTACAGATCACAGGAAGGTTAAGGGTTTAATTTAATCCATCCTGTAAATGTAATATTTCAAAATTATTCCAAAGTTTCTATGTACCAATTATACGACTCTGAAAAGCAATTCTATGAATACTGGAGTGCAGAATTGGAAAATAAATATTCATTGTAGGTTTTCTTGGCATGAAGGACAATAGCACGAACTGTAAGCAAAAGGCACAGGGTTAAAAACAACTTTACCTTAAAGTTTCCTAAATTTAGGAAACCATAAGCAGGATAATGTGACAAATTTCTCAAACAATGAAAGGCAACTCCATGTTGTGGCTATGAGGCTGAATGAAACGGGCGATCAAGCGTATGCCAACAAAAAGCCACCAACAAAAAGCCAAGTATGTGTGTAAAAAAAACAGAGACCGTGATCAAATGCCATTTATTTTCTAAGTAAATCCCATCTCCTGTCCTGTTACAGATAGCCTCATTAGCCAACTAGGAGTGCACTCGGACTCACGAAACAGGAACCCAAAAGAGCTGAGTCTGTGGTTGGTTTTCATCTTCTTGGCAAGACTATTAGCTCAGTTATGAGAAGACAGCTCAATCAGTGGGCATTTCCTCACAACAAAACTAAAATAGTAGAGCACTGACTGCTGGTATTGCTTTTAAAACCTTAAGCAGAAGAGGAATATTTTGTTCTCCCTACAAGTTTAAAATCCAGAGGGCCCTTCACCCCCTGCTGATCCAGGAACAAAGGGAGGAGGATGAGGGCAGAGCAGAGGTGGGATCCAGCCAACTGCAACATAGTTCCCATCTGACAAGTGTGCTGTTTCAGCCTCTGCAAACACTGAATTCTTTGTAAAATTGAAGATTTCCAATAAACATTCAACTGTACACAAAAACAACTAGATGTCTAAAATAAATACTCATCACTATAATGTATTTTAAATTCTAAGACACATAAGATTAAACATTTTCTATTTTTTAGCAACTTAAGCTCAGAATTGAAGTTAAACTGCTTTTCGATATATCGCATATAGAAAGTTAACACAATTACTGTGAAAGAAATATACTTGTTATATACTCTGATATGCAAACAACTGGTAACAGTGATTAGTTGTTTTTCCTAGTAAACATACCAGAACTAATATATTCACTTTGTTGCCCCTTCAAGATAGTCCCTTTGGAAAGCAGTCCACAGAAGCATCAATAATGCCACAGTTTCAAACAACTTTCCTAGTCCTTTGATATGAAATATTTAATTTTTTTCGCCAAACATTAAATGTTTAAAAATTGAATATGGTAACAGTCAAAAGTGGGTCCTATATTTTTAGCCAAATAACCCAAAAAAGGATTGGTAAGGATTTGCATAGCTAATATATTACCTCAAAGGCAACTCCAAAGGGAAAATTCAAACCTACTCCAAGAAGTAGTAAACATTAAAATGAGTATGTAGCATCTCCCTACCCACAACCTACAAGGGCCTGATGTATAGAACACAACTGAATTATATACATATTTTAAGTGTTTTTGTGAAAATACCAGCCTCCTAATACTGTAGTCCTATCTACTACAACACAATTTAACCCAGCAGGTTTCAAAATAATCCACCCAAATTGTTTCAAACTATTCAGTATACAGTATAATTAATGTTTGTCTCCTAAGGATCACCACTTTCTTTTAATGAAATAAGGAGTATTTTCTTGAAGCTAAAATGTGATCTTAAAGCCCAGCCGAGCCAGGAACGGCCCACCTTACACTCCTGCGGCAGTCTGACTGAAAACACACCAGGCTCCCAGCTGTCTGAGCCCATAGAAACCCTTGGATGATAACTAACTGCCCTACCAATGAGCTGTATCCAACTTTGGGGTTTTAAAATGATTTTTCTTGAATAGAGTTAAATATTTTTAAGAAACCAAACCCTTGCCTCATTAGTGGGGTGATCCCATAATAAGCCAGGTATTTTACAGTCTACTTTGGTATCTTTCCAAAAAAACTAAATCCATTTACACTAAATTTCACATCAGTTTGTTAGAAAGTTGGAGAAGGTCTAAAAAACATAACCTCTCCATACCTAAAAGAAAAACAAAACAATCTATTATAGACCTACCCTGCCATAATTTCCCATCTAACCTATTTTTCCATTACATTTACTTGCCTATTTCTGTACCTTTCTTAGCAGTACAGAGCTTCTGGGTGAAGAGACAGCCCCTATTTAACACTACTTGTCTAAAACAGAGGAGGAGGTCTCCTGGGTAATTACAGTGCCACTCACTGAAATGCTAATAGAATCAATTTCTCAAGTATTTAATACTACTCCCAAATATTCTTTAGCTTAATTCACAATGTCATAATTAGGTAGTAGTTCTATTACCTAGAAACCTTACAAGAATTTTCAGTTTACATGAAATATAGGATAATCAGTGACAAACTCTCCCAAATCTGGATGGTTTAAAAGAGATGTAAGAATGGGTATATACATACATATATATACATACATACATACATACATACATACATACATAGTTATGTGTGTATTACCTGTCTTGTCATTTGCCAGACACAGTCAATAAACTGAAGAAAAACTGGTGATCTCTCTGCATCTGCATGATTCTTATCTCCATGGCCAAGTCTCTAAAGCAAAGATAGTGAAATAATATATGAACTTTGTAAGATTTTTAATTTTTTAATGTAAATCATTTTATTTTCCAATAAAAATACTATTTCCTCAATATTTTTAAAAACTCAGAAAATATTTTAAAAAGAGCACAGCAAAGTAGCAATCACCCTACCTATGAAATGTCTATTAGCATTTTGTTGTATACAGAAGTGTGTACCTGAAACTTCTATAATTTTGTTAAACAGTATCACCCCAATAAATTCATAAAAAGGAGAAAAAAACACACACACATTTTGATGTGCAAACTGCCAGTTTATTTAACATGAGATGCCTGTAACAGGAATTACAATTTTGTTTAATAAATGAAACCCAGATCCTTACTTAAAAGCTTAATAATGGAAGACTGGAGCAGCAGAACCCAGAGCCCAGATTTTTGTCCTGGAGATCTAATCTTCCCCTGAATATTATGTTCTTCAACAACAGCCTCAGGAAGTAACCTTTAACCCCTTGGCCAGTGCATGAAGGGGACCTTGCTGAATCTTAGCTTCAGTCTGCCTTTATCAAGAAGAATCACATTAGTACAAACCTTCATAAACCTTTTAAAAAATGCTTGACTTCTGCCCTCCAAGCATATACTCACCCAGTGTTTCTCAGTTTTCTTCCTCTTCTGAGGACCTTTGCCCCAGATGTCTGAAACAGGCCCCCAACTCTATTCTAAAGCCACTGACCATAAAATTATGGTCCATAGCCCTGGCCATTTTGGCTCAGTGGTTAGAGCATCAGCCTGCGGTCCTGAGAGACCCAGGTTCAGTTCCCGCTAAGGGCACGTACCTCGGTTGCAGTTTGTCCCCGGCCCTGGTTGGTCGTGCGGGTGGCAGCCACTCGATGTGTCCCTTGCACATCGATGTTTCCCTCTCTCTCTCTCTGTTCCTCTCTCTCCCTCCCACTCTACCTGAACAAAAAATGGAAAAATGTCCTCAGGTGAGGATTAAAAATATATATATATGGTCCACAGACTTCTTGGGTGGGGGCAGCCTGGTGGGGGTAGGTGGGGACTGAGGTCAAAACTAATTTCATAATACTAAAACGTTATTTGCCTTTTTCAAATCACTGTCATCAGCATGAATGGTGCACAAGTGATGAAGGATACAATTTTTGGTACCTTAGGAGGAATTGGCAAGGCAGTGGAGTCAAACTGTGGTGGTATTCTATCCTGCTACACACTCACAGTTAAATGAAAGGGGACAAAACAAGCTTTCAAGCCAGATTCCTTGATGAAGCAGTAAAAATTATTACCTGCATTAAATACTGCCCCGTGAGTACAGCTGTAACAGAATGGAAATGTACATGATGTGCTTCTGCTGCAAACTTCAGTAGGATGGTGGCAGTGGCCCTTTTTCGTGGACCTTCATTTTGACTTAAAGAAAAACTGGTATGTGAACTGTGGTTACTAAGACTTGCAGACTTTCTGAAAATGTACAGTGACCGTGTCACTTCAAGGAAAACAATGGACAGTATTTGTTGCCAATGATAAAATTCAAGCTTCTGAGTAAAAATTACAGATTTTGGGAAAACTTTTTCCTGCCACATGAGTTTGATAATATTTAAAGACTTTTCTGATAAAATCAGTGGTGGTATTAACAACTGTGGTTTTATTGAATTATATTAAGAAATGCATTAACAATGGAAGAGGGTATATACGTAGCTCAGTAAGCAACTATTTTCCAAATAGCTAATACGTGATGTTATAAAGTCCTGCGTGGGTACAAGATCTATTCAAAGTGCAAGACAGACCAATGGAATTTAATGGAACAAATAAGAAAAACCTCACTGATTTAGTTTTGGATTCCACATTACAATTAACCTTTAAGAAACTACCATTTAAGTTTTGGCATAATAACAAAGAAGTATACCAACAGTTCCCTGAGAAAGCTGTTAAAATACTCTTTACTTTTCAAACTATATGTCTGTGTGTGGTCAGGCTTTCCTCATATACTTCAACCAGCAGAAAATATTGCAGCAGACTGAATGAAAAGAAGAAATGTAATTTAGCTATCTTCTATTAAGCCAGACATTTTAAAAATTTGCCCCCCAAAATATAGAACAATGCCATTCTTCTCATGAAAACTTTTTTTAAAAATACATTTTTCAAAAAAAATATAGTTTTCTTTAAAATGTTATTTATGTTATTATATAATAGTACTATCGTCTGAATATCTGTGTTCCCTGAAATTCACATGTTGAACTAATATGATGGTATTAAGAAGAGGGGTCGTCAGGTGGAACTCTCATGAATGGGCTTAGTGCTGGTATCAGAAAGACCACACAGAGCTCCCTAGCCCCCCTCCTCCATGACACAGTGAGAAGTTGACAGTCTCCACCCGAAAAAAGGTCCTCACCAGGACCCACCCATGCCGGCACCCTGATCTCGGACTTTCAGTCTTCAAAACTGTGAGAAGTCAGTCTGCTGTTTATAAGCCACCCAGTCTCCGGTAGTCATAATAGCCCAGATGGACTAAGACAAAGTATATTTATTATTACTTTAATAAGTATTTTTAAAATTTAAAAATTTAACTTCTAATACGGTAAATGTTGATATATAAACCATGATAAATGTTGACATATAAACCGTGTAAACAGTTCTCAGGGGTCATCAAGAACTGGAGAATGGAAGAGGTCCTGAAATGAACAAGTCTGAGAACCATCACCCTGTGTTGACCATGTGTGAGCCTGCCGTCCTGACCACATGTCCTTTATTTGCCAGATTCTGCTTTCACGTAACAACTAGGGGGAAACACGGAGCAGGTAACCACAGTTAACAATTTAGGAATCCATGGAAATTTCCAACAGTCTGAAATGGTTTAGATTCTGGTCACATTTGTATGAACTTGTGCAGCTTTGGCTGACTAAAACTTAATTCTTTGAAGTAAGAGGTTTTCTGTATTTTTTTTTAATGGTCTTCTCATAATAAATGCATTTTATAGAGAATTGAAAAACGTGACCCACTTGAATGGATGCTCCAGATGCCCAACTCTACTTAACAGTTCAAGTTCCACAGCTGATGACCTTTAAGTATCTGTTTCTCCCAAGTCATTTATACACTGCTCATACACCCTGGCACTTACTGGGTACTAAAGGTTAACATCAGAGACAGCATCTAGGCAAACATCTTTCAGAAAGCCTTTCAGCTAATCTAGGAAAATGCCACCAATCAGACGCTCAGAGGTTGCAAGGCCTCTAACACGCTAACTTCCTCCCCGCTCCAAGATTCTCTACACCCGACCTGCCTCATTGCTCCTCTTGCCACACTCAACCCGATCTAGACGTCTGCTCACTATGCTGCTCCTTCCTGGGAAAACATTACTCCTCCTCACTCTCAAAATTCTGTGACTACAGCTAACAGAGACAGGCAATACATAAGAACCAAGTTTTTGATTCCAAATTTAGTGTTTAGCAAAAACACAGCTAAAAACCACTTGAATGTTTATTTGATTAAGAGCTACATGAATCCAAAGTATGATGTAACAAAAAGCAAATGTGAAAGCACAGTGCCTTTGAAAGGAACATAGTAACCCATCCCTCTAATGTAGAAACTGATTAGTTCTGGCTGCCCACTTGTAGAGAAGCCATCTCCAAAGTCCCAAGGACAACTGGGATGGTGCGGAGTTTAGGATAAAAAGGACAAGAAAATGGAGGGCTAGCCAGAAAAACTGAGGACTATAAATGACATGAGCTGACAGCTACTTTCTAATATTTGAAGGGCTGTCTTATATAGATAAGTAGTTATATTTGTTCTCCAAAGGGGAATGTAGAAAAAATGGGAAGCAAATGTGAGTTCACTATGAAAAGGAAGTTTCTAATAGGCAGACTTTGAAGAGGGACTGCAGAGCCTCAGTAAGAGACCGCTGCTTGCTTCTAGCAGTGTTAATGAAGGAAGGAAATCATTGTGGGGACACACAGAAGACATTCAACAACTGTTGCCTGGACTCTTTCTTCTGACTCTTAAATTTGATATCAACGATAACAACATAAATTTTGAAACATATAGAGGGCACAAGAATTTGTGGTTTCTTTTTTTTTATCCTCATCCGAGGACATTTTTTCATTTTTTGTTCAGATAGAGTGGGAGGGAGACAGAGGAAGAGAGAGAGAGAGAGAGAGAAACATCAACGTGAAAGGGACACATCGAGTGGCTGCCACCCACACAACCCAACCAGGGCCGGGGACAAACTGCAACCGAGGTACGCGCCCTTAGCGGGAACCGAACCCGGATCTCTCTGGACCGCCGGCCGACACTAACTGCTGAGCCAAACCAGCCAGGGCAAGAACTTGTGATTTCTATAAAACTAACTCCAACACTTTTTTTAAAAAAATTATTTACTGATTTTTAGAAAGAGACAGGAAAAGAGAGAGAAACATTGATTTGCTGTTCCACTTATTTATGCAATCACTGGTTGCTTCTTGTACGTGTCCTGACCAGGTTAACAACCCTGTATCAGGATGATGCTCTAACCATAACCAACTGAGCTACTTGGCCAGGGCTGCAACACTTAACATACACATGGTAATTACACTGTTAGTAGCTTAAGAAGGATAAGAGAAAAGTAGTTTTATTCCCAATTCTGAGTTACATTTTTTTTTCTTTTGGTCCCATGTTTCCTGGTAGAGATCACAGAAGAGCCTGGGGCAGGCACCTGACAAACAGCCAGCCCTGGCTCCCGACTGCAGAGCCCAGATAGGACATCCTAATGCTTTCCAAATAAAAAAATTTCTCCTGAGAAGTTTGCCCCTCTAGAATTAGCGATCAATTTTAGATGAGTATCTAATGAACAGAAAGCATTATTTTCACACACCTGATGTGAGATGCATGTGATACATCAAGTTAAGGTTCTTTACTCACAAGCTGAAATCGATGTCCAAAGCTTAGCCATTCTTTCTCCACAAGCACTTCAAACCCTCGGATGGTTCGATAGTAGCCGTCCAACATGAGCATGGCGAGGGACGTCAGCTGAGCGGTGCGGTCCCAACCATCACTGCAGTGCACCACCACAGACGTCTTTCCTGACTCGACTCTGTCAGCAATCCTAAGGGCTCCAGCAAGAATAAGCTGCAAAGCAGATTATTTTAAATAAAAAATGTTTAAGTAAATGCTTCCTTCTTCAAAATTTATTAATAGAGTTTTGCTAAGGATGACTATCTCGATAACATATAGGGGGAAATCATCAGTCCCTTCCTAAAAATAATTTTTTAAGGATAAAAGGTATATAAGTTTTGCTTTTACTATTACTTTTTTTAAACACATTTTTTTTCCTTTATTGATTTTAGAGAGAGAGGAAAGGAGAGGGAGAGAGAGAGAGAAATACTGATGAGAGAGAACATAGATTGGCCGCCTCCTGCATGCCCCCCGCTGCATATTGAGCCCACAACCTGGGCATGTGCCCTGACCGGGAATCCAACTGGCAACCTCTTAGAGCATGAGTCAATGCTCAACCACTGGGCCACACCGGCCAGACTATTATTTTTTTCTTTCTTGATTCCAGAGAGAGAAAGAAACGTGGATGATGGAGAACATCAACTGGCTGCCTTGTGCATGCCCCCCACTGGGGACCTGGCCCACAATTTGGGCATGTGCCCCAACCAGGAACTGAACCAGTGACCTCTTGGTGCATGGGTCAACACTCAACCACTGAGCTACACCAGCCAGGCTATAAGTTTTGCTTTTAAAACTAGAAAAATCTCATAAATGCAGACTCCTATTAATCTGCACAATGAAATATCCAAATGAAAGGTGCTTTGAGTTCTAACCAAATCAACAATATGAGAGAGAAAAAGATCTAAGTTCTAAAAAGATCTGTTTCTAAGAATCTTCAAATATTCCAAACATCATCCATTTAAATAAAAATATCCCAACTGAAGTCTTACCTGTTACTTATAACAATGTTTGCTTAATCAAATTAAAATATGCATGAAATCAATAAAATTGATATTTTAAAATATTCAAGAGCTTCCACTCGAGTATCTATATACAATGGCATGTATTCTACTGTTGTATATATCACATAGCAAACAGAAAGTAAGGCATAAAACGGTAGAGCAAGCTACTTCTTTGATCAGTCTGAATGAAATTCTCACCAGATCAATACATTATTATGTCAACTTAACTGGTATTTTAAATAATTGTAGTTACTTTTTAAATATGCAGAGACTCTTCACAAAATAATTTACCTTTTCTGAAGTTGATCTTGAGTTAAAACTAGACAAAATTAGATGGCTCTGGCCAGTTTGTTTCAGTGGTAGAGCGTCACCAAGTCGTGGGTTCGATTCCGGCCAAGGGCACGTACCTCGGTTGCGGTTCGTTCCCAGCCCTGGTTGGGGTCATGCGGGAGGCAACCCGTCTTATGTGTCTCTCCCACGTTGCTGTTTCTCGCTCTCTCCCTTTCTCTCCTTCCCACTCTATCTGAAGATAAGTAGAAAATTATCCTTGGGTGAGGATTTTTAAAAAAAATTATATGTAACAACAACAACAACAAAAAAACACAAAAAACACAGGAGGATAACTTCCCTTATTTATTTATTTATCCTCAGCCGAGGACCATTTTTGCATTTATCTTCAGATAGAGCGGGAGGGAGAGAGAGAGAAAAACATCAACTGGCTGCCACCCACACGACCCCAACTGAGGCTGGGGTCAAACTGCAACCAAGGTACGTGCCCTTAGTGGGAACTGAACCCGGGACACTCTGGTCCACGGGCCAACACTCTAACCGCTGAGCCGAACCGGCTAGGGCGAGGACAACAGCCTTTAAAATGAACAATCTAGTGCTATCTTCTCTTCGGGGACCAGATCACACTTAAAGAACAGCATGGTCCCACACACACAGATCAGAATAAAAGAAATTAGATTTACTAGCTAGGTTAGAGGATCTCATGATAGCTGCCCTTTGATCATAACTGTCAGCATATTCTGGAAATGGGGCTCTGCAGCGATCTCAATCCAGTCTGCCTCAGAGTCCTATCTGTGGGGTATTTTTACTCACTAAAGTGCTTGGGTTTCCATCTCCACTAGTCCTAACTATTTTAAATAACTTCCACCAGTAATTCAAATGCATATCCAAACTTACAAATCACTGACCCAAAGGATTAGAACAGTAGGAAAGTTAAGACTGACCAGGAAGAGTTATCCAAAGTGGTCATTTAATTCATGCATTCATTTATAAAATAAACATGTATGGAGTTCCTTACTGTGCAGCAGGGCTGCTCTAGGCGCTGGAGAGAAAGAAAGCAGCGAACGGAACAAAGTGCTGGCTTAACGAGGTTTGCATTCTGGCCGGTGCAAATCAGTAAGGAAATAAATACATAGTGTGTCAGAGGGCAGCGAGCGAGAAAGCACCACACAGGCGGGGGTACACAGGCGGGGGTTCCGGTAGAGCTGTTACTCTGCACGGAGTGGATGGGAAAGGTGACTTCAGCAAGGATCTGAAGAGAGTGACTGGGTAAGTCTTGCAGTATGAGGACTGGGAAAGGAGAAGGCAGACCAGGCACAACTGTACCTCTCGTGCCTCTAAGGCAACTTGTTTCTGGTACAGCCAGGTTTTTGTAGAGAATGTTGTACCTGCTAGTGAAATGACCCGGAATTTACATAAGTGAAAGACGATTTATGTTAGTTCCAAATCAGGACTTATGAAGAGATGGGCCACATGAACATACTCTCTGAGAAGTGTTTACACTTTGCTACATTCATGCTTCTAAGCTTCTAGAAGAGAAACACTACTTAAAATAGTCTGTAATTTTCATTAGATCAAGCTGGCCTTCTCTTCAATTTTGTCTCAATTTTAGGGGTTTTGATGTGAGTATAGTAAGTCTGCTCCTTCTTAACATGAAAAATCCCATTGCCCTTTATTTCACAATTCAATAATATATGAGGCTATAGAAGTCTATATTTTGGTAAGCTATGTTACCATATCTGGAGATATATATAACTGATTAAATAAAATAACATTTGGTGTTTCAAACATTATATTACCATGTTAGGCAAATCAGCATTCACACAGCAATCTCCAATTCATCTAGCATTCAAATGGTGCTCTTCACTCAACTGCTTCACCTCACCTCCCTGCCAAGAATGATGTTTCTACTTCACAAGTCATGCAATCAGTATTTACTGGGTGCCTGTTATTCACAGACAGTGCTGCCCTAGCTCATGAGGGGAAAAAAGAAATATGATTCGATTTATCCAGCCCTGACCTCCACTGAACTAACAATATACACTGGTTGACACATAAAAGTAATTAAATGATTAAATTTAATTTACCTGATTAAATGGAAAGAAAAAGAGTGAAAATTTCAGAGAAAATGTAAATGGATGCAATCTGGTAAGACTTCATGGAATAAATCAAATATGAACTGGGATCTGAAGGATGGGTAGAATTCAGACAGGATGGGAAAGAAAGAAGTTCAACAGACCCAGAAGCACAATATAGGAAACTATTTAATTCAAGCACCAAAACTTAGAAGTAGTCCTAATAATTATCAAAGTAGGTACCAATTTTTCACTTTCTGGAAAGGTACCTCCATCTTTTTTTTTTTTTTTGGTACATGCCCCTAGCGGAAACCGAACCCGGGACTCTCTGGTCCGCAGGCCGACACTTCAACCGCTGAGCCAAACCGGCCAGGGAATGTACCTCCACCTTGATTTCAGCTGCCAGAGCCAATGTAGACAGAGGGGCAGAGAAAGACCTTGTTTAATACCCTTTCTATGGCAGTATAAGGAAATAACCCACCTTAATATGTTCTAGCCAGTGAGTCGATTCCAAGTTAGACAACCAGTGGGTCTCCTCGATGTTTGGGTACACAATCTCTTTAAGTTTTCGCAACGATTCTCTCATAACATGAATATTGTGAATATCTAAAAAAACTAGCTCTGCATTTTGATAGGCATCTTCACTTTCATAACCTCCACCCTTTGCCTAGAAAAAAAGCACACACCACAGAAAATCAAAAACGAATGCGCATCCATTATATGTTGATATCCATGAAAAAGTGCCATAAACTATCCAACAGCATGAAAGATGATACGTATTACTGATGAACAGGACACCTCATGGGAAAATAGGGACAGTGCGGGGCAACTTGACACCACTACTCTCTACCATAAATGTTCTTTATAAAACAGGAATATACACTCTCACCCTGATTTCCTTATGTAGTTGTTACAAAAAATGTGATAACATGTGAAGGCACTTAAACATTTTAAAGCACTAAATGTACCTATTTTTCATATTTAGGTCATTTGCAGACCTACCGTATTTCAAGACCTACCCAATTTCTTACAGAACAATGAAATCAACAGGCCAGTGAGTTCCATGTGCAAGAATTACATCTGTCTAGCTGACCACTGGCCCTCATTTTAATCTTAATATTTATAAAATACTCTGTGATTAAGAACTTGCTTTTATTTTAACCATGTAATTATTTTTAAGTAAAAAGAATAAGTATAAAAGACTTAAATCTACAGCTACAGAACAGAATGAGAAATATTTGGTGTTTGAAATAAGCTATGGCTGAAAAGAAGAACTTCATTTTTCTGAATTAATCTTTTCTATTTTATGAATAAAATAATTCTATCTTCTAGTTAGTTATAAAATCACACTTCTTAGAGCACTAGTGGGAAAAAAAAATTTGAAAAATCCTGCAACAGTCACTGCAATTATATACAAGTGATCACATGACTTAACATCTTTAAAAATCAACAAAACTCACCAACAAATTACCAAAAAAACAAGTTCAAGCTTCCTTTCTGAAACTGATAGTCTGTGAAATAGTTTGGCACAGGTACAGAATTAACAGTGTTTCAGTGGGTACCTGTTAACAAGGATTACTTCTGGAGAGCAAGAACAGGTCAGGGGCAGAGGGACTTTCCATTTAAATCTATCCCAGCAAATGCTAGAAAGGTGATAATGGTGGTACCTACCCAGAACCCATCCCCAAACACACAGAATGAAACGCTCTAGAGTCAGGCAGTTGTGCAACTTCGTGAACAGAATAAGTAATGTTGCACAACTTTGTGAATGTATTAAAATTGAAATACATACATTAAGAGTATATTTTATGGCATGTAATTATATTTAAATAAAATTGATATCTTATTTTAATCATCACCTGAGTTCATGCATTGATGTGAGAAACATCCATCAGTTGCCTTCTGTATGCTCTGACTGGGGATCAAACCTGCAACCCAGGTATGTGCCCTGACCAGGAATCAAACCAGCAACTTTCGGTGCACTGGACATCTCTCGACCAATTGACTGAGCCACTCCAGCTAGGCTAAAATTGATATTTTTAAAAGACAGAGCAACTAGCCCAGCAGATGTGGCTCAGTGGTTGAACATCGACACATGCACCAAAAGGTCGCTGGTTCGATTCCTGGTCAGGGCACATATCCAGGTTGTGGGCCAGATTCCCAGTGAGGGGCATGCAGGAGGTGGCCGATAGATGTTCTCTCTCACCGATGTTTCTATCTCTGTCTCCCTATCCCTTCCTTTCTCTCTAAAATCAATAAAGAAAAAAAAAAGTTAAAAAAAAAAAAAGCAACTAGATGATAAATCAAAAACATACAAAAATCATTTAAAAGAGAACTATTTGAGAAAACATTCCATCAAACTACAAAACCACCAACATCCACAAGATCTGGAAGCTATCAATAAATGTGTGGAAAGCAGCAGGAGGAAGGACAATCAGCCCCCAGCATCCATAGGATTGGCATTTGTGGACTGAACGAACCAGAACTGAAAATAGTCGGGGGGATGGGGGAGACTGTTACACTGTGGCTAACATGCACCATGTAGTTAGGCCTGCAATGGCTGTGTATGTATTGATCATGAACAGACAATTTTTATTGTCATTATTCTCTAAACAATACAACAGCTCATTACATATAATTTACATTGTATTAGGTATTATAAGTAATTCAAAGATAATTTAAAGTACACAGGAGGCTGTGTGTAGGTTATATGCAAATTCTATACCATTTCATATAAGGCACTTGAGCATCAGCGAATTTTGGTTTCTTCAGGATGGAGGTGGAGGGTGGGGTCCTTCCTGGAACCAAACCCCATGGATGCTGAGGAAAACTGTAATGGACATAGAAGGACAGCAGAACAGGAGAACCAGTGTTTGTTCTGCTTCCTGGTGTTGGCTTTCTTCTTGCATAACTACAGGAAAGTGCAACAGAAGGGTCTAAGAACTACGGCTGAAACCAGAAAGGGTCTATTATACAGTCAGCCCTCGTTTATGGTGGTTAATCACTTCCTGACTCTACTGAGATAAATGAATTTCCGCAAAGTAGGATGCTTTATTTATATAGTAACAGCTGATGAGCCTAAAGGGTCTACAGTGGAAATAAAGGGGTCAAAGCAGTCTCACCCACAGAAACTCTTCTGACCGACTAGCCAGAGATCCCTCTGCTAATCACATAATCAAAATTGAGCACAACAGAGGCAAGCAACAGTGACAAAGGAAGGGAAGGTCTGAATGAAAGGACAAAGGAAGAGACATTTCAAATTTAAAAATGGGGAGGGAAGTGGAAGGGGGAACGTTAGGGGGAGTACAGGTGTGGGTGTGGGTGCAGGGTGAGAGATACAGGATAGAGCCAGGAAACCTGAGAAAGTCCGTCCTTACATCGTTAGTGTTACATGAAAACAGTAAGAGGCAGCTGCTCTTTTAACTTGTGCGTGCCCCTAACTTTTTTTTTAATCCTCACCCGAGGACATTTTTCCATTTTTTTATTCAGATAGAGTAGGAGGGAGAGAGAGAAACATCGACGTGAAAGGGACACATCAAGTGGCTGCCACCTGCACGGCCCAACCACAGCCGGGGACAAACTGCAACCAAAGTACATGCCCTTAGCGGGAACCGAACCCGGGTCTCTCTGGACCACAGGCCAACGCTCTACCTGCTGAGCTAAACCGGCCAGGGCCGTGCCCCTCACTTTTGAGCCATGCCTTTAAACTAAACACTGCATCCTTTTCAAAGTTAAGAAAAACAAATTTCACCTAAAAATGAGAAACTGAAGAGGATCATGGTCAAATCCAATGTAAGCTATACTAAAGAAGAGAATGAGTAGTATTCATAACATCCCCAGACAATGCCCCTCAGAACTGAAATCTTCTCTTTTTAAGTAAGCTAGAGACATTATAAATAATACCAGGCATGAAAAAAAAGAAAAAATTAGAATTAGAAAAACTCAAAAATGAAGGGATAAAAGTTGAAAACAAATTAAAAATAAGAGAAAAAATAATCAGAAGTGAAGATGAAATCAGAAGGAACACAGAACAAATAAATACAAAAGAAACAGTGAAAGGCAAATATTTAAAACCAAAACAAGATTAGAAAGACATAAAAAGGATCCAAGAGAACGTGACAAATGATGAAGACAAAGAGCAAACACAGGAATAACAGGAGTCCTGAAGAAGAAAGCTGAAACAAGGGAACAGAAAAACTACTAAGAACGACAGTTAAAGGGAGTGTTCATGAATTTTTTTTTAATCCTCACCCGAGGATATATTCTGTTTATCATCAGATAGAGTGGGAGGAAGGGAGGGGGAGGGAAAGAGAGAGAGAAACATGGATGCAAGAGAGACACATCAACTGGTTGCCTCCTGCACAACCCGACCAGGACCAAGGACAAATCGCAACTGAGGTATGTGCCCTTGACCAGAAACCAACCCACAACTCACTGGTCCATGGGCCAACACTACTGAGCCAAACCGGCCAGGACATGAATTTTGGTTTTTTTAAACTGGACATTACAAATTAAAATAACATAAATGCTTACCTGGGAATACAGACCCAGAATAAGGATACATTCTGGCAAAATAACAATTAAAAAAACAAAACAAAATTTTTTGGACATCCAAAATCAGTGACTTATATGGAAAATAAATTTAGCTTATCATCAGACTTTGAAATTTTATGCCAAAAGAAAATAAGCAACATATTTAAGACACTCAAGAAAATCAGATGTAAGCCAAGGGCTTTATGCCCAGCAAAACTGACTTTCAAGCCCTGGCCAGTTTGGCTCAGCAATTAGTGTGTCAGCCGTCAGATCAATGAGACCCAGGTTCGATTCCAGCCAGGGGCACATACCTTGGTTGCAGTTCATCTCCAGTCGTGGTCGGGGTTGTGCAGGAAGCAACCAGTCGACGAGTCTCTCTCTCTCTCTCTCTCTCTCGCATCGATGTCCGCCCCTCCCCCCCCTTCTCTCCTAATCTGTCTAAAGATAAATGGAAAAATATCCTCGGGTGAGGATTAAAAAAAAACTGACTTTCAAATACAGGTGGAGCAAAAGTAGGTTTACAGTTCGTATGGAAAATACAATAATAAATAATATTTTAAGAATAAAAACTGTAAACCTACTTTTGCCCCACCCTGTATAGTGAACATAAAGTTGCTACCATCATGCACATACTCAGAATACTGTTCCCATGAGCCCTTGCTGAAATATTTATAAGAGAACGTAAGAGAGACGAAAAAGAAACCTGTAAGAATTTGTGTGAGCACAAAATATATAGCTACTTGTAGAAGTCAGAGGTAAAGAGAGAGTATTTATACAAAAGGGAGACTATGCAAAGGATATTATATGCGTATATGCTCTGACAATGTAAATACAAAAATAGGGAGAATGGCGAGAGCAAATGCAAGAAAATAATAACTTTTCAGTAATTGTACTGGTGATGGTAGTATATTTAATACTGTTACTCTGAGGCTCTGGTGGCATAAAGCAAATAGGTAATTACAGAACATACTAATGTTATCATCCCATGTCCTTGAGAACCAGGATTCCTGGTGTGGGAGAAAAGGAGATACATAACTCAGATGAAGTTATGTTAAAAAGTCTTTAGCAGTGAATTTAAATTGCAAGCACAAGTATGAACTCGCGAGTTCCTTTATCTTTAAAATATTTATAAAT